ATTCCATGGACGATTCCTTATATATTCATCGATACACACTTGCACGCGTCTCAGCACTTTCTTCTATACCCGACTGTTGACCGACTGAACAGTTTACGAGACGCTGCGCACACACATACTTCCACACACTGATATTCACATGCAAGTATCTCTACTACGCATTTAACCCAGTCCAGCACAGAAAATTATAAGTATCTCAACAATTATATCAGTAAAATTTGAAAACGAGTCAATAATATAGACAGGGGTTATGTTACATTTATTAGAGACATTCATGATAAGTGTCTCACGAAAGTATTCGAACGCTGTAGCACTGTTGATAATTTTCTATTTTCCTTTGCAGCGAATGCAAACATTATTGCTAGATGAAAATATTGGTACGTTCACTTGACGTTAGGATATCGTTTCGGTAACAGTAACGTAAAAGTGTGCATAACAGTATTTAAAATGAATACCAAAAAGTGTGAAAGTAAAAAGTGTGAACGTGAAATAATATCCGATTACACGAGGACGGCAGATTATATAACGAGATTGCCGGAATTGTGAGCAGAAGTAAGTCCACGACACATTATATCATAAACAAGTGAGAGAATGAGGAAACACTTGCAAACAAAGCTCGATCAGGTCGACCAAAGAAATTGACTGGAAGAGAGGAGAAAGTTATCGTTCGCGAATTAAAAAAAAATCCTACTGCATCCACTCCTCGACTCGCAAGTATGGTAGCTGATATGTTTCATGAAGAAGTTCACCCGTAATTATGTCGACGAATCTGACGAAACAATGATTTCCAAGGCAGAGTACTGCGAAACAAGCCATACATTAATGCGGTAAATCATAAAAAAAGATTGACTTTTAAATATTTTTAAATATTTAAAAAAATAACCTTAAAGAAAGTGCCCGTAGATTAGGATTATTGGAAGATTTCCACTTCCAACAAGATAATAATCCTAAGCATACTGCTAGAATTGCGAAAGAATGAATCGTATATAACACACCACGCATGCTAATTACTCCACCGCAAAGTCCAGACATAAATCCGATTGAAAATTTATGGGCTGAAATCGGGAAAAGATGAAATAAATTTCAGATAACCTCGAAGCAAGTATTGAAAGATAAAATTATAGAAATATGGAACTCCGTTGAGTGCAGTTTTACAAAATCATTGGTTTACAGTATGGAACGTCGATTGAGACACACTATCGCTGCTAAAGGTGGTCCAACAAAATATTAATATTAAATAATTTAATAACATATGGTAGCGCTCAAATACTTTTGTCAGTCACTTACAATGCCTGTTTCTAATAAATGTATCAAACTCCTAACCTACGTCGTTGAATCCTTTTCAAATTTTACTGACATAACCTCAAAACTTCCATCTTCCTATTGACATCTGCTTGCCTAACCAAATTACTCTAACGTACATTATTTCGTCCATTCAAGTTTGCATATGTAAGTGTTCGAATACTTCTGTGAGGTACTGTACGTAATGATAGTGCTTCTTCTCATTTAGAAATCGTGGAGAAAAAATCATGGAGAAAAAATGGGACCTACAAGTGCCGGGATTTGAACCTGGTACGGAAACGTTCGTAACCAACGGCGTTAACCACTGCCCTACCGTCGTCCGGTCATAATTTGCTGTCGAGTGCCACTACAATAGTATCGAAGTAATGTTGGATAAATTTCTCGTTGCAGTTTTCATGTAGGAAGAGAAACAATAAAATAAAGAACACTTTTTCTATTCAAAGAAAACTTCAAATAACCAACTATATCATAGGCCAATGAACTTGTCTCGAAGTATATTACGCGGCCAACTATCACAAAAATACTGTTCTATTTAACACAATAAAAATCAGCTTGAAATGTCAAGAAACTTGCACCTAGTTGGGTCATCTTCCTTGAAACAAAGAAACTTCTATCGAAAAAATCAGTTACACGACAAATAGTTTGAACGATAATTGTATAAAGAAGCTCACAATGAGTCAACGTGTGTAAATGACAAATATTTAAGAAGTTATTTTAGCAGGCACGTTTGTTTGAAAGAGCTGTGTATCTTGAATCTATCGAGAAACGGGATTCAAAAGGGAATTGCGAATTTCGAAATTAGTTGTGAAGAAACGAAAGGCGCAATCGCGTTTCCTAGTTCGAGGTTCCTTCAGTCTGGTTATCAAGACTGTCTTATCTTTTACTTGGTTCCCGATTCGAATTTCTTTCCGCTACGAGCGATGAAATCGCACAACTTCTCGTCCAACTCCTCCACTCTTTCATTTCACGCTTTCTCTATTAATTCCCCTCGTCCTTTCTAAGTGCTTTCCTCCGTTCGCTATCTTTTTTCCCCTTTACCATCTCCTCTTGCATTCGCCATTCTCGCCGAGTTGGCGAAAGAGCGAGAGAGATGCCAAGGGAGTCGAATCCTTTGACCTCGTTGCGTTTCTTCTCTTCCCTCTATTTGCTTACAACTCTGTACACGCGTTCCAATCTTCTCTGTTATTCACCGAGAAAACGTCTCCCTTGTCATTAATCAATGAGAAACCAGCTTTCTAGTATCGTGCGTCGTATGAAGCGTGCAGAATAAAAGTAGAGGATCCAGCTTTCTTCGTTGACTAACGGATCGGTTTAAGAACGACGCGATAGTCTGTTTTGTCACCGTTACAACGAAATTGGATATGCGAACGATACCCAAGAAAATGTATACACTGACTCGCGAATGTATCTGAACTCTTATCGTAGAATGCTACTATGTCCACATTGTGTGTGCCATATAAAACATTTTGACAACTTCAGTAGCTCTGTAATGAGATACGTTATACGTTGTTACGAATACAAATGAACAATACAAATGTGAATATACAAAGGAATATAGAAATTGCGAAGTATTTACTACAAACATGCGTACATCGGGCAAAAAGGTAGTGTTGAGATATGTATAATTTTCTGGGCTGGACTGGGTTAAATGCGTAGTAGAGATACTTGTATGTGAATATCAGTGTGTGAAGGTATGTGTGTGCGCAGCGTCTCGAAAACAAAGAAATGTAAACTGTTCAGTCGGTTAAAAGTCGGGTATGGAAGAAAGTGCTGAGACGCGTGCAAGTGTGTATCGACGAATATATAAGGAATCGTCCATGAAATAAATATATCATTATTTTAATATTAATCCTCAGTATAAATTTAGTGTTCCTATAACATTATTTCGGCTTCAAAGATCCACAATTTTCAACAGTTAGTATATCTTACATGTTATCTTACACATATAATAAGCGTTAAAGATGATCCCGTCTTATTTATTGCAATTAATATAATGGATAATTATAAATACTTTGTAACGTAATTGCTTAGCTGTAAATACTGTGTAATTATTTTTCTGATCTCTGCAGGATATTTAGAATTATACGTTAAATTATAGAGAGTGTATCTTTTAAAATTAGCCAGCATTTTTCTTTTATGCCGCCATGAACCGGTGGAAGAGTAATAAATTCGAATATCGACTGTGGCGGTCTCAACTTTAGTTTTACGAGCGAACTTCACTGTTCAAGTTAACAGTCAAACATTGAAGTAAGTAAACGCGTAGGTAGATAATGCAGGTTTGTATAGTTTATGGCGGCTAGTGCAAACAGTATCGCAGACTTGTGAGATAGTGGAAGTGCTGTAAATATCGTTATTGGCACTGGTAGCAGATTCTTGAATCCAGCTAGAGGATCTAAATCTGCCGGATTCTGTAACATTAGGATTGATTTTCGAAAGGCACAGAATTTCCTGAACCAGATAACACGGATTTAAGTTTATGGATGCAACTTCCCTCGGGACTGGCTGTTATATCTGACACAACTGGAACTGTCAGTATCAAAGCCCATAGGTCTTCACTCTTACGACTGAGATTCTGAAGATACAAGATTCATGATCTTAGATGTTAGGATAACGTGCAATTTTTCTACCCTATTGATTTTTCTGCAAACTACCTGAACTTTTGCAATATACAAGAAAAATATTCGACTGAAACGTAGAACCAGATTCTGTTAAGAACTTAATATTATATATAATTATTTTGTTTCTTTATGTAAATAAAGTACATTTTCTTTCCTAAATTCTACGTTTGGTGATTCTTGTTCAGGAATCTTACTGCAATGAATTTTGGAAGCAGTCGTTTGAAAGAATTCAAAGATCCAAAGTATAAGTTATTTCTAATATTTTTTGGAAAGACGTCATTGAATAAAAATTAATTTTTATTTCAATGAAAGTCATTCATGAATAAAACTGTAAGAAATTTCTCAAAAAGTAAAACTATTAAGAAATATTAATTTTTAATTGTTCCTATTAGGAATAGCCATTACGAATGATTAACATTTTTTGCACTACCGGTCACCATTATCGATGACGGAAATTTCATTCACATTGCCAGTAACTAAAACAAATGATCGGAATTTTTTTCGTTACCAGAGACCATTATCGTTGGCCAGACTTTTATTTTCGTTACCGATAACCATTATCGATAACGAAAAATTTTTTTGGTTTCCGCTAACCAATATGGGTAACAAAATCTTTTTTCTGACCACATTTGACTGTTGTCAATTGTTAACATTATGGTTTAGTATTCATTGATAACATGAAAAAAACTAATTTTAAGTTAGGTATATATCTTATTAAGCAGAAAAAATGATTAACAGTTGAAGATTGAGAATAACTGAAAATAATCAGAAACAATTTTTCGATGATAATTATATGTAACCCATACAGAATTTCTGTCATTGACAATGATTACCGATAAACAAAAAAATATTTATCATTTATAATGGTTACTCGTAAACGACATTTTTAACCAAAGATAACTCTATATTTTAACACTTTACCGACCGATTAGCCGATTAATCGGTTTTTTGTCGCCGACGCTTACCGACCGATTTTATTGCCGACAATCTTTCTCATTATTTGAGGAGTAATTTATTATTGAGTACTAAGGTACCTTGCTCAGTTGCGTTGCTTTGTAAGCTCCCACAGTTTTTAATTTGAAAAACTTACCGTTCGCGATGTACGAAAAGAATGGTATTGGAGAGTCTAAACCGAAACAGAACCGGCGCCAGGGAGAATCTGCGCCTGAACTGCCGGTCGGACGTGCGTATGCTGTTGAACTGCTAGCGGTCGGTAAAGTGTTAAACTAGATTAACTCTGTATGTATTGTTATAGATATTAACTGTTACAACATGACCAGTTAACTGCGTTCGACATGTATACACGTCAATCTAAAACTTCATTTCAGTGCGGTTGACGTGTATATTCGTTATTGTTTGATTTTACCTGCGCATTCCGTATGGAACTTTTGAAATTAAACTCCGAATTAACAGGTTAATTAATTTTCGCTAAAAGAACATGTATCGTAACTAGATAACGGAAAGTACTTGAGGAAATTGAAGTTGCGAACATGCGCTTAACAAATGAAACTGAAAATCTTTTCTCGAAACTGCAACCAGTTAACCCACGCCATATGAACTCGCAACTAAAAATACAACAAATTGCAGCGCGATATCATATCACTTGAACGTGTCACCATGGCTGGCTGCTGGAATCCGCGCAAGAATCATAAATCACTGGGCGAGGTCGGCAAAAAGGCCGGTTTTTCCAGCAGATAGCGAAAAAGCGCGTTTTTATTGCTCGACGTCGCGAAGAAATAACGAAGCTTCCACGTCAAAATACCGGCGCATAACTCGGTGTCACGTAAAAATCGACGTGGTCCTCTTTCAATCCTGCAACCAGCGCTTCATGGAACATTAAATCGTGGAACAGCCGTGGTTTCTTGATCGAAAAATTTTGATAGCGGTTTCTGGCAGCCAGCGTTGCAACAATTTTCGCATGTCTTCCTTATTATTTTTTCATGCAACGTTATCTTTCCATCTTCGTTTGCTCTTTTGAAAGAAGCACTGTTAAATAAAATAGCATGTTCGTGTCAGTGAAGTCAACGAAAGTTGAGAAACAGAATTGCTTGCGATTGTATGCCACTCCAAATCGAAATTGAAATTCTAGTTAATATAGTTTATGGAGTATGATACGATATAGTTTAGGGAAACATATGAAGAGAGTAACAGACATATTTCAAGAAAATTAAGAAGCAGAGAATTTAGGAAAAAGCGATCCATGTATTTAATGAAAGAACGGTCCAGAATATGTGGCGGCACTTGGCAACAATGTATATCGCCGAAGCGAAGTGCCTAATGAGCCATCAATATCCCAACGGTCCTTCCGTCGAATGTTCGAGAAAAAAGGCGTGCGTGGCAACGTTCGCGGACGCCAAACAAACGTGTGGATAGTGGGGATATTGAGGGGGCGACGAAAAGAAAAGAATCGAATCCGATCGACAGTTCGGTTCGAACTAGGGAGCGATGAAGTCGTGCTGTAACCGGGTAGCGAGATTGACTAGCGAAACCGAGAGCGATACGCGACGCGGCCAAAAGAAGTCATTTGTTAATAAATATATTGTTGACCTAAACACCGAGTGATTGTTTAACGCACTACACCCAATATCACTTCAAATACAATTCGAGGATTAGAAACGCCATTATTAACAATATCCTAAACAGATGTTTATAATATACACTACTTTGTACTGTACAGTGAAAGTATTAGCAGAAATATATTTTTACAATTGGGTAATTGCTTGAAACCGTTTGAAACTGTATTAATGAACGAATTTATGGACTTGCATTTAAACAGCAATCAATTACAAAAAATGAACATTGGAATATTGCATAGGGGGGAAACAAGTTTACAAAATTCGTTTTTCGAATACTACAAATTTTATACTTTGTGCTCATGTTCGTTTCTTTCCTGCGGTGTTTAATTATCGGCAGAAAACAGAATTTGCGAATGAAGAATTTTAAACGAAAATTGTTTTACGTATACAAGTAAAGAGAAGAGCATTTGTAATGTGGTTTTCCTATTATCGAAAAAAAACCTGTTTTAATATCGGAAATATGCCAAAGCGATATTTGCGATGCGATATTTCAATTAGCGGAGAAAATCGGCAAGCCACGTAGACGATGTCATGTTTATTTTATACCTCACCAATAAACGATCCATTGTCTTCCTGCAGTAAAAGATGGACTTTCAATGGAAAATCAGCTACCGTGTTCGACGAAATTGGACATTTCATAAAAGACAGTAGGATTTGTGATACAACAAACTAAAAAATTCTCTGTTACTTCTCGGGCTTCTAAAGGAAACCAAATACCTACATAATGGATTAGGGTTACATATCATGTTAGGTAAATGTATGTATCATTAAATATACAGACCCTGAGAAAATATTTCGGGATTTTTATATGGCCTATTGGTGATATGAAAATGACGAAAAAAATTTGTATAGAAAGATTTGTATAGAATTTGTTCGAGGCTTATTTTCATATTAGAAGCAATTTCATTTTGCGCTAAAAATACACCCTATAAAGTCTACAAATATCCCTCACATATTTCGTGACACCTTGTATTGGAAATTTCTATATGCAAATTGCCTGGAATTGATGAGAAAATAAACGAACCAAAATTCTAAATCGAACATCGTTTGTCAATCAAACAGGGGGCATCGAGTGCATCCACCGGCCATGGACGCACTCGACAAATGCGCATCGAATTTGATGACATGGGAATATGGTCGACATCGACCAGATTCTCACTCTTTCGTAAGTTATATGATACATTTCCGATTCTCTATGGTACTGTCTCTCCAAGTCATTGTCATTTTAATGTATTTAAGGTATAACGTTAAAACACGACAAGATTCTGTTTTTAGAAGAAAGTTCCTTCGTTGTCTGTGCTTCCTACGCGCTAACGAACGATTTAGAAATGGACATAATGGCAGTTTCACATTATGCTACCTATATACGATATACGACATTTTGGACGTGCAAATTGCAAGCGTTACATACTTTCATTGACGCGAGGCCTAAGTTTTTCTTTAAAAAGATACTCTTCCAACCGTTTTACATGACAAATTAACTTTTTCACAACTTTGTAAGGACGGTTCTTCTGTAACAAATTGAAAAGTCATTTTTGCAGCTGCTTGCTATAGGGATTACTTATACTTTCAACCTTGAAGATAGATATTTTCCATTCCATTCGCGCCAATAACGCTAAAAATTGAATTATGTATAGGCGATATACTGGGTAACGTATGGTAAAAAATTTGAAAGAAATTGTAATAAAATCAATCTACGCTACAAATACCTGAAGGAAAGATTCTGTATCTTCCTCCCCTTCCCTTTTCTTATTTTCTGACTCTATAATTCTTACTCTATTCTATCTTCTGCCTCATTTTCTCACTGTCATTTTTTCCTCCTTTCTTTCTCCTACCCTTTTCTTCTCGCAGTTCTGCGTAACAGCAAAAACAGAGGAATTGGAAAATGAACGTGCTGAAAGCAAAACACGAGTGACACTGTACGCAAGAAAGCCACGTAACAAACGCAATGAAGCAATTCCCTATGAAACCATATGCTTATTACAAACAGTAACAAGTTGTTCCCGTTGAAGAGGAGGACCCTAACACAAACGATAACACCACGAGCTGGCTCTTTTGCAACAGTGGAATCCAGCGAGGCAAATCTAGTTTCCTGTTACTGTAAAAGGATATTGGTTGCGTGTATAGATATACACGCACACACACAGCACAGCTTTATACAATAATGGAACGCGTTCGTTGGATAGCACGCGCATACAGCGAATCTCGCTAGCCTTCGAATCTTGTGTTACGCTACAATAATTTTCTCAACAGGTTATTCGGTATTGCTCCCTTCCCTAAATCGCGTTACGCTTAATACTACCCACACAGTCTCCCCCACTGGTCATCCTTCGTTTATCCCTTAATGCCATTACGTGGATTAAAAACGACGAAACGTATTAGTTGCAAAACGGCGATGGGAACAGCTGATGGGAATTATTTCGCGCGCACGCATGCGGCATTAAGAGGAATCGCTGTATGGAAACTGACGACGGACGTTCCTGCTAAGCGAGAAAATTCAAATTTTGAGCAACTCCTTTTGAATTTATGGCGGATCGGTATCAATAGGACGCCGACAGGTCGAGCCGCGGGTACCAACCGTCAACACTAGAGGGCTACGACGACAACGAGTTTGTCTGTCTAACTCGCTAGCGGTCGAATATACGAGCGATTGATACAAATACCGCACCTAGCGAGACTCCCTCTACGTCTAAGGCAGGGACTACCGGGCATAGCCTTACTGACGAGTCTACCGGTAGTCCCGAGACGAAACGCACAACTCTCTTTTCATCCGTCACAAATTTATAGCCGGTCGATTCCTTGAACGAAAGAAATATTTGGCGTGCAGACGGCTAGCACGGTTTATTACAAACAGAATAGTAAATCTATTGGGTGTTGAAGTAACTACTTCAAGAAAAACTCTATATCTTTATTTATGTATATCCGTGACCTTGAGACTGCTATTACGCAGAAATATTCTAAATAAGGAGCGATACATGTTATTGAGTATACATTATGTTTTGGTTTGCAAGGTCAAGGAACAAAGGAACTAATAAACAGATTTCTATTTATCTACCCTGTAGCCTCTAGCCAAAGCTATAAGCATTAACTCTTTTGGTAATGTCCTTTTGCTATAAATAGATAAACGTGCTCCACATCATTCCATTGTCTAGTAACACTAAGAAAGTAAGGATGTCAATCAGCATAAACTTATATTTATAAATTATACTTGTAATACTTTTAATTATTTCAGTATACTTTTCTATTACAAATTCAATTTCGCGTTCTTCAATCAGTTAACCTCAACCTCAACATTGGGCAACTAAGTGATTGCGGATTTTGTCATTAGGTGGTAATGACAAAATCCGCAATCACTTAATTGCCAACCGAATATTTTCGAGGAAGCCGTTTCCTAAATTGAAGTGCGAACGAAGAAAGTAACAGTAACGTATATAATAAGTAAAATGGATGAAATAAATACAAAATAGAATAAACTATAGTACAATAAAGAAATAAAAAAAAATATATAAGATAAAGTAATGTATAATAATAATGAAAATATTAATGAAAATTTTATTAAGAAATACATGTAATTTAAGATGTATAATTTCTATCATAGCTATCGGAGTTTTCTTCAAAATAAATTGTATCCTAGTATTTCTGGTCGACAGTATTTCTAGTAAATTAAATTTTGATACACAAAAGCTTAGTCTACATGCTAAAGGCAAACGCCAGTGATATAGTTCAACTTAAGAACGCAAAGAATTAAACCTGACTGACCTTTTCAATTCACCACTCGTGCACTTTTCAAAGGATTCTTTTGTCCAATAAAGCGTCCTTTTTAACAGTACTCGAAACCCGGTTCCGTTGTTTAACACTCATCTAACCCTTTCTAGAATATTCCTTTTAACTACGTTCTTAATATGCGCGTAGCCCATCTTCGGCTAAAACAAGAATTCTCGAAACTCGATGTACTGCGACAAAAGGAAGCAGATTTAAAAATGGAGCTAAAAACGACCAAAAAAAAGCAAAGAATAAAAAAAACCACCGATAATTCCACAAACACCTACACGCTTCCGCCTTCGCGGCCGCTGCACAAAACACCTCTGGCACGAGCAAAAACGTCCGACACACGACGTACAACGTCCATGCCCTAATAAACATTAATAAAGCTCGGCAAGCCAGAAAACAGACCTCCCTTTGGTTGCTAGCCTCGGTAGCTCGGTGCATCCTCGTTCAGGAGGTGGCTGACGCGAAAAGAAAGCGGTGGCCGTTGGAAAATTTCATTTAGGCTTTTCGAGTGGGTCCCGTGCCACGACGTCTTTATTAGATTCGCCGGTTTCCGGTGACCTTCGTTAACGTCGATGTTCTACGAGCGCAACCACGCTCTTCTATCCCCACCCCACACGTTTTAACCCCTCTCCTTACGTTTCACCACTCTGCTCTGTCTCGTCAGGCACACTTCGTCGAAACGACGTCCGTTGGTCCATTTGTTCGTTCATCAAGACACGAACTCGAATAATCGAGGAAATAGAGGCACAGACCGAACGTTCTTCTCGCGAAGCGTAGACGGAACGACGCGTTTAGGTTGCAGAAGTAAAAGAAAAAAGCAGGGAAAAGCTGGAAAACGGGAGAATCCGAGTTTTGTGAAAAAAAATCCGTGTTGAATTACTCGGTCCATTCGCGTGCAGCTACTTCCAACTTCTGCATCTTCTTTCTTTTTTCTTCGCTCTTCCCCCCTTTCTACTGGCATTCTGTTTCTCTTTTTCTTGTAAGAGAGAACAACGAGCAACGATGCCAGTTTTAATTAACACTTTGACTGCAACGGTGGTCATCGGTGACCGGAGCGCTTCAACTTTTTACAATTATAAAAATTGAATGAAAATTGAGGGTTAAGGCATTTTGAATATAATCGATAAATAGAAGATACTTTGAAATAAAAAGTGCCCCATTGAACAATTAAACATTTTTATTAGAACATCAACAAAAAAAAAAAGAGAACAAATGTTGCATCTAACGGTGCACTGTGTTAAAACACTTTAAACATAAATGTGGCTCATCAATACAATTTGGACAATAGGTGGCCACCTCTTTGATCCGATTCTTAGCAATTTTTGATTCTAACTGTTTAACATTTTTTTTATACTCTCTGCAAAATTTTCGTGCCAGGTACGCTTGTCCCTCTTTCTTCTGCGTTTCGCGTCGCAATCTTTGTCGAATAAGTATATTTCACGGCTCTGGTGAATGGCACTGTGTAAGGTGCATCGCGAGTGCCATTCTAAAATCTGATACCTTGATTTTTATTCTTCTTGCTTGTTTATAGAGTATCATCGCGCTTGAAATTGATGTATTTAACAGTAACTCTGAAGCTAATTTTATATATCACTCGAGGGTTCTTCTATGTGATGTAGAATATACTATCATTGGATCTGATAAATCTACAGCACATTTTCCTCTGTTGCAATCTACCACTACCATTGCTTCGTCAGAAACGTAATTTTTTCCGGACCTCTGCCATTTCAGTCGAATGTTTCGTCGAAATGATAAAAATAATCATAATACTGTTTACTAGTATCTTCTACACGTTTCAACGATATATTCTGCACGTTTTGCGGTTCGTTATTTTACGTACGCAAAAAAGTGGCGTACGTGATCATAGGCGAGAACGGTTGCGAGCCTCGCGCGTGGTGGGGGTCGTCTCCAAGAGAAGACGACGGAAAAAATTGAAGGGCAGTCAGTATCATATGAGGATTCAAACGGTATGCATCGAGAGATTCATCAATTTATTACTATTCTGCCATTATACGCTGTAAATAATAAAAATACACCCGTGACGTCCTCAGCAAACCATGTCATTTCGGCGTGGCAATCAAAATGTTAAATAACTCGCTTTTCAGTAAAAATCACGCGAGAAACCATATTTATATGTGAACATTAGTGATTTGCAGGATAAATTACAAGTATGATTCGTTGAATCGATGCATTGTTCCATCTTAGAAGAATAGGAATAGAAAAAAGATAAGATAAGGAAAGAAAGAAGATAATAGGAAGAATCGTGAAGAAGAATGTTTCTGGAAGAAAAATCCAAGAGGAACACGTTCTTTCAGCAAGTTAACTCTCGTTTCGTTTGGATATGTGTTTCGTCGAACGCGCGACAGCTCGTTAAATTTACGTAATGCACCGTTGCGAAATTAATTATAACTGCACGGAGCAATTAATTTACCTTGTTTCACGCTGACCGTTCCTCTAATACACAGTTTTGTTCGTATTTTTGTTCTCACTTGACAGAACGGTGAGTATAATTTAGCAAACTAAAAGATTCGATATTTCAATGGAGTACAGTCGTTCGTATGTAAAAAGAAAAAGTGAATTTCGTTGAACGCTATGTTCAGAATTGCAAAACTCCTCTGCAGACGTACAGTTGAAGGTCGACTGATCGCTTCTTAGACTTGCATTATTCTACCTTAACACTAGAACTACCGATAGTTAACACGAAGCTATTTCTATCGAAACCAGTGAAAATGACTGGTCTTTAAAAAATACGTAATAATAGAACATTTTTATATTTATTGATTTATTACTTTCTTACGGAAGGAATTCCATGTTATGTAATACATTTTTGGCATATTAATCCATCTGGGGCCATAATCCCTAAACGAGGGTTGACACATTTATAAAATTGTAGAATCAGTCATTTTGACTGATGTGGTATTTCTAGCGTTAGCATCTAGCGATCTAGTGATCGATCCGGAATTTTCCTGACAACTGATATCATCATATCGAGTGATACGCGATAAAAATTTTAAAAACGTGTGGCAAGTTGTACAAAACGAGGAAGCTGGTTGAATTGGGGTTCGACAAACAGATTGCAGGACGCTTTTTACACTTTGACAAGCACCAGTCATTTTGACTGGTATTGGTATAAGTAGCCTTGATACAAAATTATTTTCAGTTTGAATATATAAAAAGCAAAATAAAATTCATTATATTATTCTTTCAGTTATAGCGGAAAAAAATATAACATGAAGTATGAATTTTAAAATAAAATTGTAAAACCAGTCAATTTGACTGGTATAGTCGTTCTACTGTTAAGCTCACGTTATCCGTCTCTATCATCCATTCACTGTCATCCCCTTTAATGCTCAAAATTCTCACCTTAATCCCCAAAGAAATTTCAGGCATCACGAAAATACAAATTGCCCCAAAATGTATCGATCGAACCCACTCTCTTCGTATTTTCCTTCGAACATCCAAACAATCAAAACTTCTTCGCTGGATTTCTACCAGGTCGATTTACCAAAAAAAGAAAAAAAAACGCAAGACCAGCGAATAGGAACCATCCGTTCGTTCAACGTTCCCAATGACAGCCCCTTAAAGAAATGATTCACGATCCGACTAAAGCGGCGAGAGAACTTGACCGATGGTAAAAAAGAAGCGAGTGTTCCCGACGCGATCAAGAATAAACGATATCTGGCGGAGATCTCGGATAAGCTAAAAGTAATGCTTCCCTGGAAAGATCCAGTCGATCTTACCTCCACGTTGCAGCAGTCTCGAAGGGTTCTGGAAGTTCGATCACGTCGAGGAGACACGATTGGCGTCGCTTCTGCCACGTGGAGAAAAGTGTTCGTCTCGAGGCAAAAACGAAAGAATCCTGTTGGCGCGTGGAACTCGATGAGGCCGTGTGATCTATTGTAGCTTCTGGATTGATCGAGCGCGACCTCTCAACGTCTTAACGACCCAACTTTCCAGAAAGATGCGAAAGTCTTCCGTGGTGTCGAAGATATTCCGGATGAATAACGATTGCTTGCCTACGAGCTGGCAAGTGGATCGAAGAAACCGAGGATTAATTAGAAAAACTTCTCTACGATGGATTAATTCCCGCGACTCGCTGAATAGTCTGTCGGAAAAGCTCTTCCGATCTTGAATATCTCGGATGAGAAAACTTCCGTGGAGTAATACTCTACTTCTCGAGGGTACAGCGGATCGTTGATCGATAGTCTTCGAATAGTCTCTCAGCAGACGGTGTTGCACGATTGCTTCTCTCCAAGTATCCAATTACTTCGGTTGGTATCTTGCCCCGACTTAAAGCTGCAGCTTTTTCCTTCCGAGAACCACCCAACTCGAGGGGAATAGGAAATATACGATACTCTTCGCTCTTGGAAATCCTCGTAACCTCGGTTCTACTATTCGTGAAAACGCTGTTCAACGTTCGATTCAACACCTAGCATCGATCGATGAAATAGCGGCAAATATCCTGGCAAATATATCGACTAACAGACGATGTATACGAGTATCGATGTATATTTCGAAATACGGAAATTACACGGATTAATTGCTCTTGGAAACAGAGCTTCTTGCTTGCAAGCAGCTGAACACCAAAATGAAAGAATGCAATTGACTGACGTTGGTATGTTTCTATGTATGTTCAGATATATCGTAGATGCTGAGGAGCAGCAAAGAGCGATCCCGATGACGACCACTGACTGAGCCGCGGAGCAGCATCAGGAACTCACGGCGGAAGAAAGGATGAAGAGAAGGTGGCGGTGGCGGCCCTGGGGCGCCTGCGCTGCCAATTTTACACATGGTCTACGAGCACGTTATATCCACCCCTAAGCAGCCCCTGCCATCGAAACAGGCTGGCTTGCCTACCAGCTAACAGGCTGCGTACCTCTACGCAGCTAACTGCTACTGTTAACACTTTGACTACTGCGATGGGTCATATATGACCCACCACGGTTTCCTCCTATGACCACTGCTGGCCGGAGTGTTTCAACTTCTTACAATTGTAAAAATTGAATGAAAATTGACAGTTGGGGCATTTTGAATATAACCGATAAATAGAAGATACTTTGAAATAGAAAATGCCCCACTGAGCAATTAAACATTTTTATTAAAACATCAACAAAAAAAAAAGAGAACAAATGTTGCATCTAACAGTGCACTGTGTTGAAACACTTTAAACATAAATGTGGCTCATCGATACAATCTGGATGATAGGTGGTCACCTTTTTGGTCCGATTCTTAGCAATTTTTGATCCTAACTGTTTAACATTTTTTTTTATACCACTCTCTCCAAAATTTTCGTGCCAGGTACGCTTGCCCCTCTTTCTTCTGCGTTTCGTGTCGCAATCTTTGTCGAATAAGTATATTTCACGGCTCTGGTGAATGGCACTGTGTAAGGTGCATCGCGAGTGCCATTCTAAAATCTGATGCCTTGATTTTTGTTTTTCTTGCTTGTTTATAGAGTATCATCGCGTTTGAAATTGATGTATTTAACACTAACTCTGAAGCTAATTTTATATATCACTTGGGGGTTCTTCTATGTGGTAGAATATGCCATTATTTGTGTTACGCCCCGAGGTTTACTATAGGCCGTGTTTCTAACCGTCTCCCTTGGTACTACAGTGTCGCAGACAGATCGTCTTACATGACCGGCGAAATATACACAAAGTAGCGATAAGCGCGTAGTTGTCGTCCAGCAGCGAGTTTTAACAAACATCGATTCGCCTTCGGTTCGTTATTTTACCTACGCAAAAAAGTGGCGTACGTGATCATAGGCGAGAACGGTTGCGAGACCCGAGCGTGGTGGGGGTCGTCTCTAAGAGAAGACGAAGGAAAAAGTCGAAGGGCAGTCAGTTTCATACGAGGATTCAAACCGAATGCATCGAGAGGTCCAGAGAAATAAAATCAAGGTCGCTTAGTCAAACGAATGCGTGGGGAAATATTATAAAGTCGAATCGAATTATAATAATAAACTAGTTGTATCATCGTTAAATCATTTGTAACGTGTTAGTTATCATTTTAAATATTGTTAAAAATAGAAGTTTATATTAACCCTGTTAGTTCAGTGTTACAATCATTTAAACTACGTCTGTTAACCTAATCGAAACGGGGGAACGATTGGTTCGCGGCGTGGACTATCAGAATCGTAGGAACGCTCTTCGCGAACGGTCGTAACAATTTGATCTGACAAATCTACAGCACATTTTCCTCTGTTGCAATCTACCACTACCATTGGTTTATCACAAACAAAATTTTTTTGCGGACCTCTACCATTTCATCGAAATCATAAAAATAATCATAATACCGTTTACTAATATCTTCTACACCTTTCAACAATATATTCTGCACGTTTTGCTTACGACGAAATAACGAATGCGAATGGTTTGTTGAAATAAACGAAGCGTTGTTATAATATGTCGCTGTAAACTGTTACCAAGGCGATCACCGGTGACGACCAATAAGATAAACGGTCCATTGAGGAAGAATGTAGTCTTACATCATCAATTTATTATTATTTTTCCACTATATGCTTTGAATAATAAAAATACTCTCGTGGCGTCTTCAGTGAAGCATATGATTTCGGCGTGGCAGTCAAAGTGTTTTAAAGAAAGCTGCGTGACAGGATAAGATGGTGGAGACAGGAGAAGGATACAGAGGGTTGCTGTTTCCGGTGGTTATATCTGAGCAACGTAGTAATAGCTGACTCGATTTAAGCGACGGAACTGAATGGTCATCATATCGCGATTAAATTTCACGTTTAGCGCGAAATAATTTTGTGAGCGGTATCGAGAGGAGAAGAGGGATGATTTGATTTAAGAAATACGGAGTATAGATGGTTAAATATCGCAATTAGCTTCGATGTTTGATGGGAAATGATTTTGTAAATTGAGGAAGAAGGATAAAAGTTCACAATAAAGAGGGGTAATCTGATTTGAGACATAAGAACGGATGATTAACTTATTGCGACTAGATTTCACGGAAGTGATTTTGTGAATTGCTAGAGAAAAGTAAAGATCGACGATAAAAAAGAAAATTTTCGTTAAATCGTTTGTTAAAAACAATATAATGAAAGATAATGAGACAATGAATTTATTTTAAGAGGTAAGAACCAGTGGTTAAATACTGCGATGATGTTTCATGAGAAATAATATCGCGAGTGGTATCGAGAGAAAGGCAAAGATTTATAAGAAGAAAGGAGATCTGTTTTTTTGAAATTGTGTTTCAAATGATAATATGGCGGATGATTTCTGAGATAATAATGGATGGTTAAAATATTGAAATGTTACTGAACATTGTACGAGGATATAAAGGGAATGAAAAAACTCTGCTTTATTTTATATTCTTTGTATACTAAAAAAGGAATTTCAATTAATAACGTAAAACATTCTCATTCAATTGTTCTACTTGCACTTTAGCTGCGAAAGATAAATTTTTAGCCAAATACACCGAGCGCTCGAGCTTTGATGGTAAATAAAGAAAACTTCCGATACGAGAAAAAGGGAGAGCGGCTAAAAAATCCATTTAGAAAAAACCAGATAGATCGAATAAGGATTATAGAGGAGTTGTCTAGATCGCGATGTTAATTGATATGGATTTGGGATTGTTAATTAATCGATGCACGCAGATTCGATTTTCTCCAATATATTTTTTCGCCTCGTACAACACGTCTTAACACACAAAATACACTTGGTCAATTAACACGTGGTCGACTTCTAAGACAAAAGAGCGTCGTTAGAAGTCGTACCAACTTAGCTTGTAGTAACTAGCAATCATGCCAACCTAACATTTCTCAACGCGCGATAGTGGGAGAAGCCTGCTTTTGCCGGTTATATCTGTAAATGGCTACACCACGGTATTCGTTCAGGTCGAGTGTCCAGTGGCCGATTGCGCTGATCTTTCGGTTTGTAATTTATTGCGGAGAATTGGAAGAGGTGCCTGTTTCCTGGATGTTTGCGTTTCTACCTACTTTCCGGGTTACGTAAGCGCATTTATTCGAACATTTCGTGGCTCGAACGATCTTCACATTTTCTAGAATTGATAGTTCATAAAGGTTGAGAAAGTGAAAGATTCTAATTGACAAATGTATAACAAGACAGGAAAGTTAAATTTGTGATTTAAATTTGGAATTATAGGAAGAGGAATATACGAGCTTAATACGCAAAAATTGATTACTACTAATATCAATGGAGTATAAATGTATAGTTCGTTTAAAACAAATGATTTGATTTTAAATTAGTTTTTGTTAACTTGCCTAAATTAATGGAAAGTAAAACTATCTTCTTATTTTGCGCAATCTCTTCAATTACAATTCTACGTTCTAAGACTGAAGAGAGGTTTTAATCGAACGTATGTATTTTTATTGGTCACAGCCTATATATACCAGCTAATGAGATTTCTTTTAACAAAGTATAATGATGATATATCGTGTGCTTTCTCGTTTCACGCTGAGAACTTTCTTTGTAGCTCGTTAGACGATCGACCATTAAAAACTAAAAAAATAAAAATGTGAACCAATAAAAAACTAATACCAAGCTACTCTTTTCCACGCCACAAGTGATTTATTTATGTTATCGACGTTTAAAAAAAAGATACTCAAGAGCAAAATATCTTAGGTAGAACGAATAAAACACAAGCGAATAAGAAAACTCGCTGCTTTAATACATTTTTAGAAGCACTTTCGCACAATTAATCGCACCTTGACACTAAAAATCCCTCCACATCTTTATGCGTATACGTATACGTACATATGCTTTCTGCTCCTCGTGAAAGCTTCCTGCTACCGTTTCTCCTGATCATGAACAAAGCATCTAAAGTAACCAGAGAAAACAAGGAATAATAGGTGGCTTTTTATCGGCCGGGCAGAGATAATATGGTGAGTTTAGCGTCCGGAACGCTAGTGGCGCTTGTCAAGCGCAAGGTAATGTGTATAAAGCAATTGGCCCTGATTCGAGGCGTACCGCTAGCAAACTCAGCGTTATTATTCCCGTCATTTGCATTCTCATACGCGTCCCTTTTCAAAATTCTTCCGAGATATCGGACTCGACGCGAGTATCGTTCTTTTCATTCTTTGTCTCTTCTATTGGCTTGGCAACTAAGTGATTGCGCCTTTTGTCATTAGGTGGTAATGACAAAAGGAGGAACGAGGCAAGCAGGAACACACTCGCTGCTACCACAGTGGTCGACATGGCTCAGGAGAACCGACTTGGTGCCGGATGAACGAACAACCGTTGTCTTCCGCGTAGGCAAACAGGAGGATACCGTGGAAGACGACAACGACGCCTGCGCTCGCTCTCTACGACACCCGCTTATGAATATTACACCGTCGACTATCAAACTGTGGTCCTTGTTTTCCGTAAATTCACTTTCGTTACGTGGAAGCACGATGTCATATCCTGACACTCGTTTCTTCCACCTTAGTCATCGATTTATCGCTCAAGTTGACGACTGCCAAGGATTACTAACCTGAACATTGGCGATCGATGCATGACGTTGAATGCTACTCGACAGTTGGGTTATTTAACAATATTCTCTTTTTTACTTAAATTCCTGGAGAATATTTGGGAGATGTATTAGGTTGGCAACTAAGTAATTGCGGATTTTATCATTAGGTGGTAATGACAAAAGCCGCAATCACTTAGTTGCCAAGCCAATATATAACAATAAGCGACAAGACGAGGAAACTCTACAAACTTCCTTACAGAACGCAAACTACACTATTCGTCAAACTACATTATATTCTTATAATAACGAAAATTTTCTACACGACGCAGAAATGTATGTTTTTATCTATTTCTTTCTTTTGAAAAAAGAGTAAAGGCTAGATATTATTATACAATAAAATAAGGAGAATTAAAAATTGTAAGATACAGAAAATTTGAGGAGAAAATAGTTGAAGAAGTTTATGTACGAAAGATTCCTGCCTATTTTGGACGCATCAGCCACAATTATGGTAATCGCTCGATTGAAAACGTAATAATGTTCAAGTGGGAGATTCAGCGCAACTGATTTTCACCCACTATCAATTCTCCCGTGAATTGTAGTCTCGCGCAACTGATGATGTTCCAGGATCGTTAATTATCGATTCCGACGGCCTCTTAGTGCGTTGCACGTCGCGTGAATTTTACGCTGCAGCAAAATGCTGTCAGTAGGAATCGCGAACGGGGCGAAACGAAAGGAACAGAACCAAATCGATCTCGGCTCGTGCCGTTACATGATCAGACGCTCAGGCTCAGATCAGAGAACTGTTTAATCTACTTTTTAATACCACTTTCTAACTCTTTTATCCGTTTTCCAATTCTCCTTTTCATCCAATTAGACCTCGTTTTCGTGAAACCTGCTACTTTTAACGTAACATCGAAAAGTTAAAGACACCCTCGTCCCTGCTCAAATTGAAAACATTTTTTCACGAGGATTAAAACGCCAGAGCTGAGTCAATCGCAAGTGTTAAAGAGCGATATTGAAGGAAACTAGCGGCACGTAAAAACGAAGGGCAAAGAAATTGCCACGTAAAAAAACCTCCGCCAAATAATAGAAAGAAGACGTATCGAAGAAAAGTCGAGAAGCACTTTCTCTCGAGCTAAATCAAAACACCAAGATGGTTCGTCCTTTTTTCCCTAAAACGAACGCCATCCAATCTAAGTCACATTTAGTTTTTTCCGGTCTAAAGGCTTTCGCCCGCCGTCTCACTCAATTCGCCGCCCCTCAAGGCCGTTCTCTGTCACCCTAAGGCTTCGAAACCATCGTTTCCGTGTTTTCAACGAGTTAAACAGGTGAACACACGCTGCACTCTCGTCTCGTATCATTTCTCTGAATCGCCGCCGACGAATTCCACGGAAATTCATTGCTGATCGCTGGAAATCGCTGGAGACCCCGTGTATCCGGACTATTTCGAAGCAATTATCGAATGAGAAATCGCATCGTCGAGTACGTTTCTTCGACTTCGCAATTACATCGATACGGTCCGTACGAGTTTTATTTTCTTTCTCCGATTCCCCTTTTTTCCTCTCCTTTCATTCCGAGGAAAGACACGTCGACCTGATTTCGACGAACACAATCCTCGATGATCGGTACCACGACGAAAACCAGGCCAAAAGGCGAGGCTACAAACACGGTTAGGTATTTATAACGAATTGAAAGGCAAATTAGTGGAACCTGGCGAACCAGTCTCGAAAACCTTGGAACCTACTTTGTTCAATGAAAGTCTTGGTTTGTCCGTTCCATGAGAATTCGTGTCTGTTTAGAACGAAGGGGAGGAAAGGGAATAACAATGGCTGCCGTCGTCCCAAGTATTAATCAGCCCCCGAAGTCGTAAATTAAAGTTACAAGGGTGTCTGGCAAGTTTTAAGTGAAACGCCAAAAGAGGGGTTGCATCGAAATATCGTTTGAACGTTTTTCATCGCTTAATTTCTGTCTGCTCGATTTATCAAGCTATATTTGCAGTCTATTTACACGGTGAGACTTTTTGCTTGTCTATTTCATTTGTCGATCTGGTTACCGGCTTATTTACAAAGAGAAACCCCTCTTCTTCGATCGCTAATGGAGCAGAAGTTTTTTTCGGGGCAACAGAGAAAGGCCGTTAATGGGGCAGCTATGGGGGGAAAAATACAGAGCAAAAAACAAGTGGACGGTGTGTGACGATGTTGAAATTGCAAAAAAAGCTCGGTTACGTACCTCTCCATCGCCGTCGTAGTAGACGAGGTAGCGCCTCGTCAAGACGAACCAACGTTGCTTGTAGTTGACTGGTGTGAAGCGTTTCTTGTTCTGCGAACGCTTCACCATGAACCCCTGCCGCACCACGTCCCCGCTTTTTGGCTCCGCCTTCCCATCTTTCCCCGCCATTCCCAATGGAGGGCCACCCTGCACACAGAAAACAGTATTAAATTGTTATCGATGTTTCTGTTTCAAATGATACAATGAACCAAGTAAATGGAGAATTACTTAAGGGGGTGTTCTGAATTACAATGTTCTAAAACAGCGGTTTTTTGTGATTTTTTTTAGAAGGGAAAGAAAGAAATGGTTATTGAATTTGGAGGTGTGGTTTTATATACAGGGTCATTTGTAACTAAAAAAAATTTTTTTTTTTAATTTTTTAAAAATCTACAGTGAGATCCGTTATAACGAGACGTGCTAAAGTGCACGCGTACCGAGCGAAAATTCAAAGTCGATTTTCTCGAAAACAAAGCCTCAAACGAAAGATTTTTATTCTACATTTTCGACTTATTTTTTCGCGTAGAATCACCCCCTTTCCGCTTGTACCACCAGTTGCCAACCATCCTGTATATTTAAGGAATACAAAAAAATTTTTTTTAAAGTAAAAAAAATATTGTAACAGATTTCTAAGCCTATTTTCATGGGCTGCAGTTTTCAATCGGTGGGAAAGACCCGCCTCGTAATTCTTGACTGAAACAAAAAACCAAAAAAGAATTAAGTTGTTATATATTTTTCCTCTGGGTGAACTAAACAAAGGCAGAAAAATGTGAAATTAAAACTTTTGGTGGATTTAAAAAAATGTTAAAAAAAAATAAACTAAGGTGCTATAACAATTATCTAAATAAACTTTTTTGCTGCCTTTGTTTAGTTCACCCAGGAGAAAAATATACAGGGTGGTTGGTAACTGGTGGTACAAGCGGAAAGGAGGTGATTCTACGCGAAAAAATAAGTCGAAAATGTAGAATAAAAATCTTTCGTTTGAGGCTTTGTTTTCGAGAAAATCGACTTTGAATTTTCGCTCGGTACGCGTGCACTTTATCACGTCTCGTTATAACAGATCACACTGTAGATCGTTGTCTCGATGGAAAAATTAAAAAAAAAAATTTTTATTTATTATATATTATATAGGGTAGTTGGTAACTAGTGGTACAAGCGGAAAGGGGATGATTCTACGCGAAAAAAGAAGTCGAAAATATAGAATAAAAATTTTTCGTTTGAGGCTTTGTTTTCGAGAAAATCGACTTTGAATTTTCGCTCGGTACGCGTGCACTTTAGCTCGGTACGCGTGCACTTTAGCACGTCTCGTTATAACGGATCTCACTGTAGATCGTTTAAAAAAAAAAAAATTAAAAAAAATTTTTATTCTATATTTTCGACTTCTTTTTTCGCGTAGAATCGCCCCCTTTCCGCTTGTATTACCGGTTACCAACCACCCTTATAATAATTTAATCCTTTTCGGTTTTTTGTTTCAGTCAAGAATTACGAGGTGGATCTTTCCCGCCGATTAAAAACTGCAGCCCATGAAATGGGCTTAGAAATCTGTTACAATTTTTTTTTACTTTACAAAAAATTTTTTTGTATTCATTAAATATATATAAAACCATACCTCAAAATTCAATAACTTAATTTCTTTCTTTGCCTTCTAAAAAAAATCACAAAAAAACGCTGTTTTAGAACATTCTGATTCAGGACACCCCCTTAATAGCACTGGTTTCTGAATCAACGTGGTTCAGTAGAATGATGGAAATTTGACAAAAAATTAATGAATAAACCGTGGAAATTTAAAGATGCAAAATTCTGTAGAGTACATGTTATATGCAAAAATATATAAAGTATTTCAAATACATATATCAGATCATAATATTGGCTTGGCAACTAAGTGATTGCGGGTTTTGTCATTATGTGGTATTGACAAAAGCCGCAATCACTTAGTTGCCAACCCAACATTTACCGGGTGGAAGAAATTTCTGCGTGAATTGTATTCCTTTGAATTGTTTCACGAAAACAGAATGGAATATATGGTGAAGTAAATAGCGATTAATGAATGAATCGAAATGATCAATTAGGCAATTTTCATAAACAAGTGGCGAACATTTTTGAATATTATTTTACACGAAGTGTGATTTCGTGCAATAAAGTGGTATAGACTCGTCGTGGGTAACTGCATTAATGCCACTTACGAGTTACTTTGGTCTGATAGAAACACTTAATTCTTCGTTTCTATGAAACAACGTTGCAACGTTCCGTAGAAACTTCAAGTTTCTCGCAGTTAACTTGGTCGAAGATCAATTAGGCGAGTCGCGCGATGAACTTTCAATTATCCGAATAGTTTGCAGCCTGAATACTTTTTATTCCCAAAGAATTCCATCGAACATAATTCATAATTAAACATAATTCAAGGTAAATACGAACAAATAACATTAACTAGGTTGGCAACTAATTGATTGCGGATTTTGTCAATACCACCTAATGGCAAAATCCGCAATTACTTAGTTGCCAATGCAATACAAAACCAAGTGGTTGTATTTGGAGTACAACAAGTTAAAAAAAAGAAGATAAGATTACCATATCAGAGAGTAAAAATAGAATTATGATATCAATTGCATAAAGAAAAGATTATATTACACACGTGATAATAAGTTTTATATTTATCAGAGATGAGTCAGTGATATGTTTAAAACACAAAAATAACGTAAAACTGAGAAAGAATGTTCAAACCCTGGTGAGCCAAATATAAAGGTTTTAGGGATCCTGAACCTCCATTAAAGCCAGGGTGACTCGACCACGAAGAATTTCCATTCAAAATAGAGAGCCAGAGAGACAGGCTGAAATCTTCGGCCGCGTTCTCACGAGACAAGCCTAGACCATTTTCGGTGCTGTAAAAGAACTAAAGAACCAAACAGCTTCCCACAGGTTGAATCATTTTAATCCCGCGAAAAGTTATACAGAGCAACCCATTTCGATGTATAAAGTAAACGAATAAATTTATTCTTATTCTTCTTTGAAATATTTGTTCCATGTTCCTTGCTTAAAATACAACAATAATAAAACAATGCCGTTAAATTCATTCGTACCATTTGATCTACGAGATGAAACAATTAAAAGGCCTTTGTCTGTATATCATCGATTCACTTTTTCAAAACGTATCCATTTACAAATGAAAATATACGAAGGTACATCTGTGTCGCGTTTATACCGACAATCACGATTGATTTCCACTGGAAGTTCACAGAGAAAACGCGAAATCTGTTTGGCGTAAAACTACGAGGCAGTCTAAATAAATAGCGTAAACAGTGGCTAACGCGCGCCATCGACAATTCGAAGCGAGAACGCGTGTCAACTAACACGCATTCGTCGATCGCCAGCGCGCACGCGCACAAGTACGATTCACGTGTTTTACGTCTGCGTCAAACTTTTTGTCCCGAACTTCTGCAAAAGACTAAGATTTATCTAGAATTTTCCTGGTAACTTAATAGTCTGTCTTTAATTTTAGATAGATATTTTAAAGAGGCTCAAAATGAGGTTGAATGTATCTTAATATTTATCTTCATAAAAATTATCTTATCAAGCTAATTAGAAAAAAAAACATATATTATATATATTACAACATTGCTTATTCTCAACTTTAGTTAAGACGAAACCTTCTATATCACTGTTGACAATTAATTGAAATTTATAAAAGGAAGTAAAATCGATAGAGAAAGAATATAATTTTGTATACATGAGAATATACATATTTATCACATAGTGCATAGAACTGGTTACGATTCGACAAAGTACCAACATGAACCGAACGCTTGACACGAAGCACTCGAGCGAACCTCGGTGACCGCCTACTTCCACTGAAGTTCTTTTGTAACTCGTCTCTCTGAAATTTTAAGGCGCCGCCTAAACCGCGACGTCCTTTGAATTTCCGTTTCGTGCTTTCCGCGCTTCTTGGAAATGGGAAAGGAATGAGACACCGCGATACGTTGGACAAAACCACAGAATAACTGTCTCTTTCGTTAAGCGAAGGAAATCGAATTACTAAAAGTTTATTTTGGTACAATTAACTGTCACAATTACTGATTAAATACCTCTGGAGGATTTTTTTACATGGAAGAATTATAATTTTCTTATTATATAAAGTGGAAGAGAATTTTAAATTATGTTACTATACAAGGATGTTAAATAAAATTATTCGAAGAATTATTTACAAAAACATCTACGTATTAATTAATAACAAATTTATAAAATAAAAATATTCTAATAGATAAAATTATAAAGAAACAAATATAATGAGAAGTAAAAGAATTGTATTGACAATATTGACAAAAAGAAACAAAAAGAAATAAAATAGATTAGATGAAAAAATATAACCTAATACTGTACATAACAACATTACCTGTATATGCGCATATATGTATATATAAATATGCAAGCAATAAAATATATCTATTTATAAAATTGTTTATAAATACAATCAGTTTCGGCCATCTTGGCTTTCGCTCTTACTTCGTTTTACAATAAACTGCAAATGCTTTTGAAACAATAATTTAAAGCGAGTAATTTAAACAAAAAGCGTGTATTTTTTAAGCAAATTATTCGTCATGCTAACTTTTTATAAAAAATTTTTAAGTCAACACTCGCATCACTTTCTGTAGAAAATCAATGAGAATGAACTCTAACATATATGTAAAGAACTTTAGAATGTATAAAATTTGAAGCCTGGTTGATCAAAATCCATCACAATTTTTAAATATCGAACTGATGCTAGTTTTATGGGCCACCCTGTATACAAACCATGCACGAATTCTGAATCAAATTCTATTCTTTGTTTTGACCGTGGTTTAGGATTTTTCGAAAAAATTATACCACCTTACAAGCATTTAATTACACGAGGGCAATCACAGAGGCATTCCTTTCGAAATTGCCAAAAATAACAGAACAGTGAGATCAACGACAACGCGATAGTTTGTGGTTATCCTGACACTCGGCTATATGGATATTTCTATGTGAAAGTTCAATCGAAATAGTATTGATACGCACGAAATTCATATGAGAAAATCAACTTACCATGCACTAGGGTACTGCTACCACCTCGCAATTTCAATGCTTGTCAGAAACATGACCGGTGCCTAAACAAAGAATTCACGTGGAACGAACGCATACACACACCGACAATCTGTCAAACGGAGACGTTGGAAATTCACGAGATAGCAGGAAATACCTCACTACGTTAGTAAAGCATTTATCCGAAATATCGCGCCGCCGCGAGAATGATTTACCAAATGGAAAACAAACAATATCTACAGATCGGCTCTTTCGTTTTGCTAGTTAAACAACGAAAATCCCCAATCTGGGTTCGACGTCCTGCTAGCATTAACGTATTAACTGGCCAACAGAGAATACCTGTTGACTCATTTTAAAAAAACAAGATGGCGGATCGAAGGCTACGTTACATGTTGTTTTGTTTTAGTTGCACGATATTTAGCTCTTGTTAATTCGTAGTGAAAAGTCCGTGTAGCGTGCATAGAAATATTCTAATTGATCGTATGTTTACAAAAAAAGAAGAATCGATCAAGAAATTCGTTGAAAATATTGTGAAATGATATTAATGTAACCTAACGTATAGTATCACTATATCAAGTGTGAAGCTAGAATCTGTCGTTCGACTTTGTAATATATAAACATTGATTTTGCAATATTACTATAAACTATTATTTTTTATTATTATGAATATTAAATAAGCAGAATATGAATTGTGTGAAAAAAAAGTGATAACTACGCGCGAAATTACGGACCTGCGCACTAACTTGGACGTTCCGATCAGTTTGACAACAGTGTTTCTTTTAGTTAAACCTAACCTATTGTGCATTTTTTGAAAGACTCTCATCTTAAGTGCAATTGCTTTTTATTTTTTTCATTAAGAATACCAATATCAAACGTGAAAAATGGCAGCACCAGAAGCGATACAAGTTAGTTCGCTACCCCTACCTCCAGTGCAATATATTAATTTGTACACAGACGAAAATGTTCGTCGAGGCAGAGCACCACGACCACCACCGCCGATACACGATTCTTATTCAATGTTTGGAAATGTATTTAACGCAGACGATACAATCATTAGGCCACTCGAAGCTCAAGGAATTAAAAGGTTATATCCTCAGCATTTCGATCGGCGACGAGAGTTGAAAAAATTGAATCACTCATTGCTTGTTAACTTCTTGGATTTGATAGATCTGCTCGTACAATGTCCTGACAGTCCAAGACGTGCTGAAAAGGTAAATACTTAATGTAATGACCTGGCATATAATGCAAATACTCACTGTTTCTTTTATTGTTTTTAGGTGGAAGATCTCAGTTTATTATTTATTCACATTCATCACTTGTTAAATGAATTCAGACCGCATCAAGCAAGAGAAACGCTAAGAGTAATGATGGAATTGCAACGCAGACAACGTATAGAAACAGCACTTAGGTTTCAGAAACATTTAGAAAAAGTATGGTTCTCAAATTTTAATCTTTTGTACATTTGACAATACAATATTTAGTTAAAATTCCCATATTTTTTCAGGTTCAAGAAATTTTACAACATGCATTGCAAATGTTACCAGATACTTCAGAATTGGATTCTAAATTAGCAATAAATACAGATGCTATGGAATCTGTTGATAATTTAGGTTCTGAACAACAAACTCCAGATCCATGTAGTCCAAGTGATCGCATTATGTGCAAAACAATAGATGATATGATTTCAACAAATGGACTGTATTAAATGAATTTCTTTTCTTATAAGATGCTGTAAAAAGTATTGTAATTATATTTGTAAGATACATTGTAATAATAACTATTCTACAAATACAGTTTATTTGTTAAACGACAAGAAACAATATTATATATACATTGCATATACTAAAAAAACACATTGCAGTTTAAATATCTTTTATTTCTTTAATAATGTAATAAATGTATTGAAGTGAAATTTACATATTTAAAATTATAATAAACAGAAATAATAGTTTTAGAATATTACAATATACTAATACATGAGCAAATTTAATATAATTACATAATAAACAAGTCACAAAACATTTGTATTAAATATTAATTCAAACATGTATGAATATTCACTAACTGTAAATTTTTTACAATCTTTTTAATTAGCCATATATAGTGACATTCGATATTGGGCATAAAAAATACAACATATATTATGCAATAGTATTGTTTATTAAATTAAATGATAATATATTCATGAATTATTATTATTAGTATTACACAAGTTTTATTCAATGGTGGATAGGAAAAGGATACAATATGTTTTAAAACTCACCTTACAAAACAGCTACCATCAATATATAGATAAAAGACAATATACAACCGTACCTTGGTTCCTGAAAAAAGTACATTATAATCATTTCTTATGAGCCTCCACCTTGGACTTACTGGACAACCTGTAATCAAAACATGATTATTTTTGTTCTGCTTTCCCATCCTCAGTCAGCAATCACGACACAGCATCTGCAAGATAAAATGTATACAATAAATTACACCTTCATTCATGTAATCAAAGAAACTTTTTGACTTGAAAAATCACTTGTTCATATTGTTTGTTTATTTATATTATTTAGTAAACGATTTTATAATTTTATGCTGATCTTTATATCATTTTAATATGTCTTTTTGTACTCAAATTAGACATTTTAATAGAAGATTCATCCATTCAGTTAAAAAAATATGTAAACACTTAATAATAATACAAACATAGAATTAGTAAATGTAGCATATAAATCAATAAATATAACTAATTTCGAATCTAAGAAAACAACAGCTGTTTTTAAGTTTCTTTGATTTCATTATTCTCTCAGAATTAGATACTCTGTCATTATCCCTCTGCTTGCTCTCGTCTGCACTTCCTGTTGACAAAAGAAATGAGATATGATCGAGAGAGAAAGGACTAGGAAGAACTAGGAGATAGGGGAATACATTTTGATACTATTTTAACATCCAAAATTGTTATGGCAGAGAAATATTGTCTCTCTTTTGCAAATACGTGTAACACAAGTGTCCTAGCACAAGCCAATCATTATACAGTATGAATTTGTAAATATTTTGTATCAAATAGATGTAATTTTTTGTTTGTGACATCTGATGTTTCTTCAAATACTTCAAATGACTCATGTGTTGTGTTGCCACACCATTTTTTCTTCGGTATTTCGTGTATATTGTATTGCCTGTTAAGGTACCTGGTTTAGAATTTTTGTAATAAACACTTCTTCAAGTTCATGATATCAAGTTTCTCCACTTCTTTCTCCATAGCTGTTCACTTTTGTAAACTCAGGTTTCTTCAAATTGTATTTTCCAGTTATTTAACAATGAATATAAAAAAAGGTTCTGATAACACCATTAGTACAGTATTACACAACAATGTTCTCTTCTTTAAATGTCAATATTTCATTATTGACATTATCACTATGTTTAGTAAACAATCAATTCTTACAATTTTGTATTTGAAACTTGTATATGTACTTAAAGCTTTCACAAAAAACACTTTCTTTACACTAAGATTTATAGGATAAAAAATTGTATTTCTCCCTTTGTCACTTCTCTTAAACTCACTTTCAGTAAATAATCACTTTTAAGTCCTTCATCTTAATATGTACATTTTACAGAACTGGTTTAGTCTTTTATATTATTGGAGCTTTTACTATATCATTTTTCAACAATTTCAGTCATTAAATAATTAATAAAAATTTTTTCTCCATGTTCCACGACCTCTTGGTCTATAACCACCTCGACCACCTGATCTATTTCCTCTAAATCTACCTCGACCTGTAACAAAAGATATAAAGATAGATTTTTATTTTATTTCTACATATTATTTTATGAAATAAAAATGCTTCTTCAATTACCATAATTTGATGATATGTTTGAGCTGTATTTTCCACTAGGAGGAGTATACAATTCTCTTTTACTTTTATCTTCTTTACTTCGTTTATTTGAATTACTGTCATTTCCAAACGTAATGGGTGTATGTCTTTTTTGAGCAGTCGAATGCTTTTCATTCTAGAATAAGATACAAAAAATGTATTACAGTATTCAAAATACCACATTTCTAAAAAAATTGTAACTATTTTAATACGTACCTTCTTATCATTAGCTGTTGTTTTCCATGAAAGATGTATAATACTTTTAAAACTAGGTGGTGAATGAAACAGATCTTTGATTAAACTATTGATATTATTTGTCGTTTTTAAAGCAACAACTTTTAACTGATTTTCCTCTGACTTCAACTCCTCTTCCGATTTGCCGCTAATTGCCTCCCGTAATTTTTTTATATAACCTTGAATGCCACGTGCAAAATACTGTAATCTTAATCTAAATTCCTTAAGCTGTTCTGGATCTTTCATTAAAAATTCCGGAGTTTGTTTACACAGTTTATGAAAAGTATACATAAGGCACTCAACATGACTGAATTGTAATTTTGGTACTTCTGTTATTTCTGTGACTGGCGGTAGTGGCATATATGTCTATAAATATTGAAACAGTATTAATATTTTCGATATAAAATAAATTTTTGCTCCTAAATAATGTTATTACTTACAATAAGAGTATTATAAAGTTGCTGTACTTTTTCTTCTGGTTTATCAATTGTTCCACAAAATACAGCTAATTCAGCAAGAAGCTTTAATAATTCCAATTGTACATCTCTTCCATTGGGTGAAGTAATTAAAGAAAGATGTGGTAAAACTTGTACACAAATATAAGAAACGAATCGTGATGAATCTATTTGAGACTAAGGAATAAATTACATTACATAAATTTTCATTAATAATCATAAAATGATATATAAATATAGTTAAAGTATGCTTACACTAAAGAATGGAAGTGCGTGTTTAATACATTGTACAAGTCTGTTCCATTGTTCAACATTAGTATGCTTGAATGGTTCAGACAATTCAGCTTGTTCAACTGTAATATCTACTAATTCTTGTTGTCCACTAATTGTTGAACCTAATCTAGTCCACGCAAGTACTTCCATAATGCTATGAAATTCATCAGCAGTAACATCCTATGGAAAAGGAAGTGTTATATAAACAGTAATTAAAGAAAAAATTCTATTATTATGGTAAAAAGATTATACCTGTAACACTTTCTTGCATTCTGAAATTAAAAGATCTTCTGGTTCTTTAGTAATAATGTCATGACCTATTGCTTTTAATTTTGTCGCTAGAAACTTAATGCAACGTTCCCGCGTCCCATCATCCCCATTGATAATTTGACTAAAAAATCCACTTATTGTTCCTTAAGAACAGAATATATTAAATACAATTAATATCATTACAATATCATTACATTGTGATGTATCTATAACAAACAATGATATACTCCATACCTCTTGGGTCAGTTTTCATAAGGGACATAACACTATTATGAACAACAGCTAATTCAGATGGATCTTGAGCTTGAAGTAATTGAGCTAAAATATCTGCAATTCTAGCTGTATGTTCTTTATTATCCTTACATAATGCAGGTAAATCTTTAATTGCTTGTTTTCTTATCTGAAAATATCAATATATCAAATCATCAAATTTCCATTGTATGGAGACTTTAATACAAATGTATATGTATTCACATATGTGGTCAAGTGATATAAATACTACATACAGCCATATCTTCATCTTCACATAGATCTAAATGAGCATCTATTGCCTGATCAGCTAATTTTGGAAAATATTTAAAAAACCTTGCAATGAATTGCGATGCTAGTCGTTTTTCTTTCGGTGATCCTTTCACCGCTGTCAGAATTTCTAAATACTCTTTCTCATGCTGAAACATACAAATAAAACGTTTAGACTCATAATATTTGCCGCTTTCTTCGCTTAATTATTTATGTACAATATTGACTCATTTCTATTATAAAAACATCGTTAAATTAACTTGAAGCTTACGAAATTAATATACATATCTGCATGTTTTAAATGGAATAGAAAGTTTTATTTATGCTTGCAAATACATAAAATTGTAAATGTTAGAATTAAGTAAACGTGGTTATTAAATATAACCAAGCTCGTCAATTACCTCAGCCAATTTATCTTTGGCATCAGCCAAAATGCCAAAATTTTTGTACAATTTTTCGATACTGTCCATACTCATGATAAACTTATTATCGAATTTCCACATCTATAGACACAAAACACATAAATACGATTATATACTTAAAAATCGGTAATCTAGCCGGCCATACACGCCAATGCACCACGCCAAGAAATGACAAAGATGGCAGCGATTCCACACATATGCATATGTACGCACGTATAACAGAAGTAAATACGAAATAGCAGAGAGGAAATGAGAATGTTCACGCCCGTAGTTCTAGTTGTTTTACAGTACAGATGCTGCACCATGCGGCCAAGTTCTGAAGGTGGTACACGCTAGCATAGACAAGAACCTATTGAGTTCCACGCTACAAGAATCTATTTAATTGTACGGTCCTACGAAAAGTCGTAAGGCTTAAGAAAAATATCTACTTTTCTATCCCAAACTAACCTGAATAAATGGGGTGTCAGAAATAAATAAATCAGAATGCGTTTATATAAATAACAGATTATATTCCCTTGAAATTCGCTTACAGTGTCGTGTTTCGTGACATTTTAAATAGAAAAATATCACATATTGATGAAAGTGTCATAAAAAGGGCTAAAGTTTTATTATTGCATTGTGAATAATATTGCTTGCCGCTACCTGCGTAGTTGGTAGTAGATGTTTAATAAAAAACTATGTAATTGTTTTATTATAAATCCTAAGATATTATCAGAATGCTAAAATGTCCCTACCATAAGTATATTTTAATTGAAAAAATGGCAGCATTTCGTCCCCAAATACAATTCCTTCTCAGCTATTATTGTTGTATATATAAATTTTTTATAATACAAGAAATATTTGATAATTGCACAAAAATCGGAGCGCAAATGTTGCAATACTGGAGATGTAGAAACGATTCTATTTTTCGAAACTAAGATTTTACATGTGTCGAATGTAGGGAAGGACAATGTGAATGAAAGAGAAAGAGGAACTGAGAATCGAAGCGATCAATAAATATTAAAAGGCTGCGATAAGCTGAGACCTCGAACTTAAAAATCAAACTTTCTTATTTTTTATTTGCGACCAATGAAACTTTTACCAACATGTTTCTTACATTTTTCGGATTAAAATGACACCAAACACGATGTATTTTGGCGCATATTTCTATACTCGTTTTAATCGGAAACATCTCACAAACACGTTTGTAAAAGTTTAATTTTAAAAAAGTCAAAAATGAAAGAAGTTTCACTTTTAAATTAATACCTAGATACATTGCCTCGTGGATATCTGACATTGGATCATGTTACACTACTCGAGGGTCAACAGACTGTCGAGCCTTTCAGTCCGTCAAGGGAACCTTCTCTCCGTCGTGGAGATGACGAGTGTGCAACGAAGACTACTTTTTAGTTGTTAAATAGCTTTTTGGAAAAACTAATAAACATTTGGATATAAAATTTTGCATACTCTTATTTTGCATATTATTTATTTACGGCTCAACGAATTAAATGATCCATTATCGTTTGAAAGAAAATATTCTCTTTTCTTGTCTGAAAAAAATATAATAAACAATTAATCTCTCTTTTCTAGGCAACTTACAACTAGTTCAATTATTGCACGATTTAGTACTCTCATACTTGTTTATCCCGGATAGAAAAATAGATATGAATTTTCCCACAGAACCGTACAATTAAATAGGTTCTTGTAGCATGGAACTTGTCTATGCTAGCGTGCCACCAGACTCCTAATTTTATAGGATCTTGTATATGCTAGCATGACTACCTTTAGCACTTGGTGCATGGTGCAGCACTAGCTGGGGAAAAACCAGAACCATCATAGCGTATACACTATCATTTCCTCACTGAGAAGCTTATTATGGCGCTAAAGTCAAAAACTCAATAATAAATATTATCGAAATTATTGCTTTAATTAGATATTTCTCCATAAACTTGGAGAAATTTCATCTTTTCATGTATGCTCTGAATACATAATAGTTTGTCATAAAATCCATAAAAATACTTTATAGTATCATATGTTATAGTATCATATGCTTCAAATAGGAGAGCCTAAAATGTTGTTGATTTATATAAATGAAAAAATAATACTATTTTAATCTTAGATTATTAATATACAGTTAAAATAAATAGTTATAAATTTAATATATATAAAAAAAATTATATTTTTAATAAATGTTTTGCATAAATATATTTTGTATATATATATATATGTGTGTGTATAAAAAATGTCCTTATAAAATATTGTTAAAATTTACAATTTTTCTGTAAGTTCAGGAACAGCCTTGAATAAATCAGCAACTAAGCCATAATCAGCTACTTGGAAGATTGGTGCTTCTGGATCTTTGTTAATTGCCACAATCGTTTTTGAATCTTTCATACCAGCTAGATGCTGAATTGCTCCAGAGATACCAACAGCAATATATAGATTCTAAAAGATATGAATTGAAATGTAAATAATTTTTTAGCGGTTATAATAGACTATAACTAGAAGCCAAGCTTACTGGAGCAACAATTTTTCCTGTCTGCCCCACTTGCAAATCATTAGGCACATAACCAGCATCAACAGCAGCACGGGAAGCGCCAACTGCAGCATTAAGTTTATCTGCCAAACTATATAATAATTTGAAGTTATCGCCAGACTTCATTCCTCTTCCTCCAGATATAACGATTTTTGCAGATGTCAATTCTGGTCTATCAGATTTAGATAACTCCTGTTTAATGAATTCTGCCAATTGTGATTTGTAGTCACCAGCTAGTGCAGGTTCACACTTGGCACTGCCTCCATCCAAAGGTATTGCTTCAAATGCAGTGCCTCTCACTGAAACTATCTTTATATTGTCTTTGCACTTTAAAGTTTGAATTGCATTTCCTGCATAAATTGTACGGATGAATGTATCTGCTGCTTTAATACCAATAATATCACTTATTGGAGACACATCTAATTTAGCTGCAACCTTAAAGAATAAAAGTTATATACAAACTATGAAAAATACTTTTTATCTATAATAATATATATTTAAAGGTAGAGAAAACAGACTTTCTAATTAGATGCTTACTCTTGGCAATAGTGCTTTACCAAATGCAGTAGCACCAGTTAAAATATGGGTAAATTTATGCTCATTTTGAGTAGCAAGGATAAGAGGCGTTAGTGCTTCTGGAAGAAATCCTTTAAAAGCGTCGCTCTCTGCCACCAAAACTTTGGATACACCATTAGCTTTACTGACACTTTGTGCAACTGCATCACATTTGGTACCAGCAACTAAGACTGTTATATCACCACCAATTTTTTTTGCTGCACTTAATGTATTACAAGTGATAGGGGCTAGAGATTCATTATTATGTTCTGCAATAACTAACGTGGATTCATAACGTGCCAATAATCCATACTAAAATAATAAATAAGTTCCTTAAATATTAATCCTTTTTGAAACAAGTAATTTATAATATCGTTTTAAATACCTCATTTGTTTTTATTTTTAAATTAATATAATTTTATTTTATAAAAATATGCGATTTCATATAAAATTAATACATTTTTATTTAATATTATTATTCTTTATAAGTAAAAATGTTTCATACAGTAGAAGAAACATACAATATTATAAGTATAATAAAAATTAGTTTTGTTTTCTATTAATCCAAATCACTCATAAGTATCGATCAATTGGTTGGTCATTGAAACAATCGAACATCAAGGAAATATAAGTTTCTAATACTCACTTTGTTCCCAGTTCGAAACGTTCTAAAACAAGTGGTGAACATATTTGACAAGTATAATTTTTAAACAATTTCTTTTAACAATATGTTAAGTAAATCGTGAAAACTAATTTGTATCAATAAAGTCCAAAGTTCCAGGGAGGAATAACAATAAAAGACATAGTGATAAAAAAGATACACAAACTGTGACGTAATAATGTTTTGAAATAATTCGATTAGATATTTAAACTAAATTGAATAAGTTAAATTTGATACTCCATTTATTAAAATTAAAATTGTTATATAGAAATATATTTTATTAAATATACTTTATAAATATATCATGAAAAAATGTAAATATATTTTAAGTTAATATCTATATTAAATTTTATAGATAAGATGGCAAATATGTCTTTTTCAAGCGTCAAAACGAACATTGCTAATTTGAAAACTCTCAAATTTTTTAACTATAAGGAAATAATATTATATTCTAAAACATCTATTAGATTCTGTATTTTTTTATGTAATATTTGCTCTTTTTAATATTAGATATTTATTCTTCATATTATATTATTTTTATTTTTTATCTGTTTTTAATGTACCATAAAGATTCTATATCTAGTATTTATTTTATTATTCTTGGTAACTTTTATATAGTGACATTTGCCTGGTAGAAAACCTGTTCAGAAAGACGCAGGAAATTCTCGACCATTTCATTGATTGTGTTTGAGCAAGATGGTAAGGTTTAGGTTATCTAACAATTCTTTTCACATCCTATTAATTATATGTAAATAATTGTTAGAAAATTTTATTTAAGACATACATAAACTACATGTTCTGTTTCAGTCTGCTCACAAAACATTTATTATCAAGCGGAAGCTTGCCAAAAAGTTAAAGCAAAACAGGCCGATTCCACAATGGGTCAGAATGCGTACTGGCAACACTATCCGGTAAGAATTATTAAAATATATGTATTTTAGTATTTTCCTTTTTAATCATTGCACTATTTATTATTATTATAATTCATTTTATAGGTACAACGCCAAACGGCGTCACTGGAGAAGAACTAAGTTGAAGTTGTAAAATGAATTTGATATGTATTTGCCTTTTTGATTGCTATTATACATTAATCGTTTATTCTTAAATAAACTCTAACTTTAACATGTAAATTTGTATTTAGAAATAATAAACCCTAATCTAAACTTCGATCAAAGTACATAATCTCAGAAAAAAGTATGATGTATAATTATTTATTTACATATAACTATATATGTGTACATTATAACGAATTATATATTTTGCGGGTACGCATTTGTTCCATCCATTCTTCCAACCATTCTTCGCCTGTTTTAGGTGCTGGTTGATAATAATGTTTTGGTGGTTTCCCTTCTTCTAAACGTACAAAGTAATTACAATATCTGTAATGTACTATTCCTATCCTTCCTCTAGCATGACGTCGTATGCCTTTTATTATAATACTCTTTGTTGCAAAAGATTCAGCTAAAAAATACAATGAAAATCTATAATATTGTAGTACTAAAAATATTGAAAACATTTTATTTCTTTTTCAATATACTTACCAACCCATAAGTTACTTTTGAATTCAATATTATGTTCCTCTACAGCCATACGTTGTGCCTCTAAGATAACTTCTTTTGCTATGGCTGCACCTTTCTTCTTCAAAAAGCTCAATTGTTTAATAGCTTCATCTACGCTCATACCTCTTACAAAACAAGCAATATACCACATATTTAATGGACTATATTTAATGAATTTTTTTACGTGACAGACATACTGTAAGATATAAAAATATAGTGAATAATTATATTTTAATTAATAAAATGGAATTATTTTACAATATAAAATAAACTTACACCTGGTCTTTTCTCTTCACCTGGTTTTTGCGGAGGAAAAACAACTTTATTATATTTAAGGAATCCTTTATTTGTTTCTTCTTCTTCTTCATCTTTATACCAATTGTATGATCTTTGTTGTATACTAGATAAACAATTGGAGTTATTTGCATTAAATATTTTGTTTGATATAAATCGTTGTACACATTGCCTTATACCTAGCATTTTCTGTAAATGTGAAAATGTATATAAAATTAAGAACTAATAATTAAAGAATATTCATTTATTTCTAATATAAATTCACATTTTGAAGAATTCAAAATATATTAAAATATAACCTTGCAGTTGAAATGCATCATAAATAAATATCATTTAATAAATAAAAGATATGATTACCTAAAATAATTTATAAACGTTTGACAATTATACGAATAATAATGTTAAATTAATGCTTGACTATATAACATTAGTTTATAATATACAAATAGTTTCAAACTATTGACATAGAAAATACATTGATTCTAAAGAAACTAGAGATGCCACTTTGGCAGTAATATTTTAATCTAACATATATGATCAGAGTATATTTTTTGACAAATTCTTATTGTAAATAAAAGAAATTATTTATGATAAAATAAAGTTTTTGAATTATATAAAAACAATTACTTCGTATAATTTGCAAGAAGTAATATTATGTCTTAGAAAATTATCCAATACGCGTTTATTTACTTCTTTATGTAGGTCGCTTTATGTTATTGTTAACAGAACTTTTTTGAATTATACAAATTTCAGTTAATCGATGGCAAACATTCTGATTGGTTGATTTTAGAGTTAAATTATTCAGGTCCGTGAATAAAAACAATAATTATTATATTATAAGTAGCGCCTGTGAAATGTGTCGTCACTTATACTAGTATATGTAGGGATGGTAGTGGAATGCTCTACTTCATAGCGTGTTCATGACGCAACTTATTAAATTGCTATGGCGGAGAATTAGTGTATGATTAAATTTATTTACTGTTCTGCTCCGTCATTGTGTTTAAGGTAAAGTTTAATTTGGCCTTTAAGAAAAGTCATGGATAGCAATAAAGATGAGGCTGAGCGATGTATGGAACTCGCTGAACGATATCTACGGGAGAAAAGATACGAAGAGGCGGAAAAATTTGTACGTAAAGCACAGAAACTTTACCCAACAAAAAAAGCAGAAGGTAAGGTGGGAAAAACCCACGTCAGCTTCTATAAAATAACTTAATCAATTCTTAGTTGTCCTTTACTTTATTTACATCTAACCACTAAATTATTGACACTATTGACATTATTTGACATTTTGGAAGAGATCCCTGTTGTATTTTTGGTTTCAAAGATTGTCATTTTTTTTAAAAGATTATTTTAATGTTTATATTGAATTCTTTAAGAAATATGGTTTCATGGTAATCGTGTGTGTCTGAATATTGATCAAGAGAGAAATGTAGTATGAGTAAGCAGAAAATTAAGAGTTTAAGTGAAATTTGTGTAACTATATAGTATTTTCTTGTAATTAATGATACATTCACAGATGTATTGGCAAAAGTGACAATGATGTCAAAACAAAATCAACAAAAGTCTGAATCTGAACCTACAGTTAAGAAACGTCAAACTGCACCTAAGGAAACTACACATACTCAAGCTTCTAATGATTATACAAAGGAACAGCTTGAACATATTAAAAGGTACTTGTGTCGAATAAAGTTCTAAAATCATCTTAATAAAAATTTTGAGATATAATAATAAGATTTGTTATTTTATCATTAATATTGGTGTAATTCATTTATTTGCAGAATCAAGAAATGCAAAGATTATTATGAAATTTTGGGTGTAAGCAAAGATGCAACTGATAGTGATATTAAGAAGGCATATAAAAAGTTGGCACTTCAATTACATCCAGACAAAAATAAAGCACCAGGTGCTGCTGAAGCATTTAAAGGTAAATTAAAAAGGATAATAAAAGTATATTTGAGGCAGATTTATTGTGACATATAGTATTATTTATTGATATATAGTATTTATTGTGACATATGTATAATTTATATTGTGTTTAGCCATTGGAAATGCTGTCGCTATACTCACTGATGTGGAAAAAAGAAAGCAGTATGACATGTATGGTCCTGAGGATGAAAGAATGCAAAGTGCTCAAGCTCACCAAAATCATTCACATTACAATTATACAAGGGGATTTGAAGGTACATATTATAATATCTTTTGTCCAATATTTATTTTTTATCATAATTATTTATCATAAATTTATTAGATACATTTATCACCATTTATTATTAAAATTATTATTAATAGGTTTGTAACAGAGATTATAATAAGCTTTAAGCCTCACTATGATAAACAAGGAACAATGATAATAATAATAGTAATAATTTATCAATATTTATTAAAACATATATACTGATTAAATAATTTTTCCTAGCTGACATAACAGCAGAAGAATTGTTCAGTATGTTCTTTGGAGGTGGGTTCCCACAGCAAGAATTTTATATGAGACGCTCTGGAAGGTGGGCGAGACAACAAGAAGCACAAGCTCAACATGTTCATTCTCAGGTATGAAGGAAAAATATAGTAATTTAATATATTTAAAATATAGTAATTACAATTTCTTTTTCAATCAAATCATGCTTTTTTAAATAAATATTATGATTTTTAGCAAGCAAATGGATATACCACATTCCTTCAAATGTTGCCTGTGCTGTTATTAATATTGTTAACTATGATGAGCAGTTTCTTTATATCAGATCCTGTATATAGCTTACATTCTAGCGCGTAAGTGTATTCATAATTCGCGACAAATACATTTATGACAAATAATGACGAATAAATTAGTTTAAATTGATAATTTTATGGAATGTTTCAATTTTATTATTTACGCTTTATTTTTTGGCTTCTATCTCTGGTATATTTTAAAGAGAACGATTGACTCGTATGAATGCGATTATATGCAAATTTTAAATTTGTACACAGAAAATATTCTGTATTGAGAACAACTCAAGGATTAAGGGCGCCCTACTATGTGAAAGAAAACTTTCATACTGAATATCAAGGCAGTTTACGTAGGCTAGAAATTTCTGTTGAAGAAGAATACCTGCATAATTTGAGACATGCCTGTTTTAGAGAGAAAAATTATAGTAAGTATTTTACTCAATTGATTACTAAATGTCCCAGAGTAGCAAACTACGTGTAGTTCTTAGAAATAATAGTCTGTCACACAAGAGTATGCCGACGATATCTCTACAAATATAAATTCGTTTGTGATAAATCTAGTATGGATCAAAAGTACAACTATTTTGTTTTTATTTAATAATGGATCCAATTTCCTCCATTATCGATTATAGTCTGACATCGTTTCGGTATGCTTTCTATTAATTTTTTGGCGTACGGGACTGGTAGGAACTCCATGTTCTTCGAACGCGAGCCATTGAGATTCTAATCTTTAATATGCGTTCTCCCTTTAGTTTATTTTTCATAGAGGACTACATATTTTCTATCGGACCTGCATTAAATGACTGTGGTGGCCAGCTCAGCATAATGGAAACAAAAAGATCGTTTCAAAACGTATCGCGTATACAGTATTCATTTTTCGGATATATATGTTGTATTTCTATTCATTGTCACAAAAGGTACTAAGACCAAGACATTATAAATCACTGCGTATTCCAGAAGACTGTATAAGTTTAGAGTATTACACTTTTCCCCACATTAATTATCAAATTTCGTAGATATCACCGGTATACTTTTGTGTGACAGACTGTAAAAAGGGACTTAACATAATAGTCAAAGGATATGTCTTTATACTTTGGATATATCGTTTCTTTAATCCTTAGGGGAAACGATGATGTGGAAAGCAAGAAACTTTGGAGATCAAGAATTATTTTCCAAAGCTAGAAATATCGAAATGCCCTCATGTAAGAGGGTACAAGATTTGCAAGGCATATAGCGGCGATACTTTTTTGAATAGAATTTTGTTGTAGATAGGTGTATATTGTATTTACACGTGTGTAGTTACTATTTGATGAAATGAAGAATATCAAGTATAATGCTTATGCGTAATATATTCTATATATTCGCGTAAAAATTTATAAATGATATTCTTCTCGATCCGTCATGAAATTTTACATAGACCATGTAAGCTGTTTGTTCCAACTTAAATTGTAAATTGATTTTAATAGCACGTATGAGGAATTCCAACATACAATATTAATATCATATTTAATTTAGTTAATCTAACATAATTTTTAAATTCTTTAGACTGAACGGTGCAATTTTATAATATAATCTAATATATCCAATATGTTGATTAATTTATATGCACTGTTATTCAGAATTATCTATGTATCGTCGCTACGACACGCAAAGGAACACCTGGGTGACATAGTTAGTGGCAAACATTAATTTTGAAGATTTAGAAGTATTTCCAATATCTATAAACATCGATTAATATTTGGCTGTTAATAATTTATTTAAAATCGTGCTGTACTATTTATTGGGTATAGTAATAGATCATCACTTTTGGCTGTTAATCATTTATTTGAAATCTTGCTGTACTATTTATTGGGTATAATAATAGATGTTAGCATGTGATGATTTTGACGCTTTTGATAAATATATTATTGCAATATTAAAATTGCTTGTACACGGAAAGGATCTAGATAATAAAGGTAGAAAACTCGTTAAATTATATGAAAACGAAAGAATATAAATTATATAATGTACACTAAGGTCATTAACGTTAGGAAGATATGAATAAAATTATTGCATGCATTTGTTTTAGGCAAGGAAAAATTGGGAAAAAAAACAAAAATTAAGAAATGCACACCCACTTTATAAGGCCTAAGTTATATTTCCGGTAATAGCGAAATTTGTGCGAACCACCTTTTTCTTTTGTATAAAATCCAATCCTATTCACAGTATTACATAATGCCGACGTATTTCATAATATAAAGTATTTCATAATATAAAGAATTATTAATGTTAAAAATTCCACAGACACAATATTATACTAGTTACATTCCTTCTGTTACTATGAAAAATACACAACACATTGCAAGCTAGCAAAAACCCTAGTGTTTGTGACGTATATCTATTCGTATATTATCTTTCTCTTGTAAAATGAATATAGTTCAAGCTAAAGAGAGGAAAGCATTAGCTATGCATGAATTTATTGTCACATATGGCGAATTGTAATAAATAATCTTGATGGAGTCGCAGTCATCGACCCATACACATCATCGCGTCGTAAATATTTATGTGGATGTAAATCTGAAGAAAAAGGAATTTCGAACAAGCTAAACAAGTGGCCACATATGTCTGCTGTTGTTTATAAATTGTAATGTACATGGATAACATGAGATGGATGACCAATATACTCATCTTAAGGAAAAGGTTTGTTTGTGTAACATTGAAAGTTTTTCGATATTAATTATTACCTGTAATTGATTAAAAAATGACTACATTTATGAAGTTATGGATTTCGAAACGTCTATGCTAGTCAGTCTACCGAACTGCACATATCAAATTTGTTTTATAATTTGCTCAGCTCGTACGTATTTAATAGCACTTATTTGAATCATTATATGATATATATATGTCAAACTATTTTAATTAGCTTCAAAATAAAGGAACTTGAAAATTACGATTTTTCCCATTTATGCACGTCATGCTTTCCATTAGTTCGGGAGTACCAACTTTTTTAAATTAGACGATCATTGGAATAATTTACAAAAATTCGTTATGCATCGAATATTAGGTTCATGTTCCATATCTCATCCGCGATTGTATTATTATCGACATATCTATCAATTAATCAATTAAATTTATCAGCAATTGTGATAACACGAATAAATACTTTTACCTATACTTCAAATAATATTCCTGATAATAGTATAGGAATCAAGTGACCTCAATGATTTCATTCAATATAAGTTCATCGCATGCTAAGGCTTTATCGATTTTCATACATTTCAAGCCCCTTTTATCGAGTTCTCCAATTCAGGTCAATGTGTGTGTCGATTTTCACCTGTTCAAGGTTATCTATCTCCGATTGTATGATTCCAGAATGATGTTACTTCACGTTTCGATATACAGTTTTTCATTCGATCCCCTTAAACTCAGCTGACAAAAGCAGAAGCCAGGAAGAGAAAATCTTCTTTGCGTATAAATCGATTTTTCGTATTGTGTCTTCTCGCATAGCGTCAAATTATTTCAATTTCAATCGAACCGTATTAGAGAGTACTAAAAACCGCTACTCTATTGCACCGATCATAGAATTTCATAAAATATCCTACAAGAAGTTCCGTTACATGGAACATCTGTTACGAACGAGAATTACATCAATCTCGCACACCATAAGGCGCTGAACGATGATCGGTAAACACGTTCCAAAGCCCGTCGGATAAAAAGTCTTGTTCAAGGCGGCCGATACTGTATGCAGGAGATCGCGATGGCTCGGTTAGTGGCCAGGTAAAATTCCTGTTGAATGCCAGGTGAAATGTCAGTCGATGCACCCACGTGATTCGTGACGATTCGAGCCGGCTGTCTGTTCGCCAGCACACGGCGTGATATTAAAAAGCTGTCGCACCACTCTCGTTCCAACTCGCGCCGATTAAACCACGGCCGCGCAATATTTGATCGTGGAAACATTTGCTGACCGAACGTCGATATACATACGCATATGTGGTAATATACCGTTAGAGCCGATCATTATTGCGAATTATCCAGCTAGCTTGTTATATACCTTGTATTAACTATTTTGCACTGAGAAGCACCGATTGTTCTTTGCTTTTTGTCCCGTGACAACTGTTCGACATTTTTCCTTTCTGAGGTCCAAGCATTTATAATGCGCATCTACTTGTGAGTCTGAAGAACAATACCAGGTATTTTATATATTAATTTTTTATTTTTCTCTCTTTCTTTAAACGGAGTATATTTGTGAATGTATTTAAACGTACTCTAAAAATTACTTGATAGCGTGTCGGTTATTGGTAACAATGCAATATTAGGCGAAAGACAGTGGTGAACTTCATCCACTAAAAGCTCTTTATCCATAGAATATCGATTCTTCTTAGATTAAACTTCTGCGATATCGACGATTTTAAAGTAACAATTTTATGTACATAAATATCAAATTATAGTTCGGAAATAATTCTTTGACTCGTCAAGAAATTAATCAAGAAATTCAAATTTCATGGATTCGAGCGAAAATTAAAATATTCTCCTTCTTGTGCCGCGTAAAAACATTTTTATTTCATCTAGATACTTCATTATCATACCGTAAAAGGCAGAAGAACTCATGGTAAAAATTCGGTTTTTAGCGTTCCACTTTCTCGGTCACCGTATATGGAACGTGTTGTAAACATTTCTCTCAAATTAAGGATGCGTGTTAAATCTAGTCATCAACCGTGATTCCTCGCGCGACTTTCGAAGCGTGCACCGCGAGTTCTTCCTTACCCAGCATTTATTCTCTGTTCAGCGTGACATGGAGACAATGGATGAGTGGATCTGTGACCAGGACACCCTTGGATACGACGAGGCTTGTATCAACTTGCGCACAGAAGATTCGAACGCCTGGCTCTACCTGCTTTCCGCGGATTGCGCGCTGGTGAGTCACGCAAGGACACGCTCTTTTTATGTTTTTTCGTGCTTTGCATACTTTTGCCTGCTTCTGTGCAATACCGTTTCCTATGAATATTCCAAGAACGGGTTCAAATGTTGATCGGAGTCTCAGGTAACCATGATTATTGGTTAAATTTGAAGTTAAAGAGCTTTTTTTAAAACAATTAGAATGCACATGTTTATACATTTATAAATTTAAATACGCGAACACATGGAAAATCTATAGTAAATTAATCGTCATAATATTTACAGAATGAAAAAAGTCGGTATTGGGGTTCCATTTTTCTAATTGCGCTCAGCAAAATATGAATTTGCATAAAAATCCACCGTTCAGTAATATATTTTTTACGATACAGACGAAGAAGTTAACCCTTAACGCTTCGACTTTCAATTGTAAATATCAACCGGCAACTCCAACTTATTTTCATCATACTTCGACTTGCAAGTTTTTAACACTTTATCGACCGATACCTATTAATCTGCTTTTTGTCGCCGACGCTTACCGACTGATAGCCTACTAATCGGCTTTTTGTCGTCGACAATCTTTCTCATTATTTGAGCAGTAATTTGTTATTTAGTACTAAGATACCTTGATCAGTTGCGTCAGTTGCGTTGCTTTGTAAGTTTCCACAGTTTTATACCAATTTAAAAAACTTACCGTTCGCGATAAACGAAAAGAACGGTATTGAAGAGTCTAAACCGAAACAGTGCCGGCGCCAGGGAGAATCTGCGCCTGAGTTGCCAGTCGGACGTGCGTATATTGTTGAACCGCTAGCGGTCAGTAAAGTGTTAACTGTCAGATTTTAAAGAGTTAGAGCGCCGCATATCGGTGGTGCTTGGGATGCACATTTGAGCATTGAGGGTTAGATTTCTTTTTCTTTCATTCTTCGAATCCTTTTTCATTTTCGATTTATTACATCGTAATGTTACACGAGTGAAATAATTTATTGGTGTGATACTTGCGGTATACAGGATGAATTAATAAACGTAGTTAGTTCGATAACCTTTTAATGTTCGAATTTTGAAACTAATCAACTTCTTTAATGGAGATCTATTCATCGAATCCTTTTTCATTTTCGATTTATTACATCGTAACGTTACACGAGTGAAATAATTTATTGGTGTGATACTTGCGGTATACAGAATGAATTAATAAACGCAGTTAGTTCGATAACCTTTTAATGTTCGAATTTTGAAATTAATCAACTTCTTTAATCGAGACCTATATTTTCCTCTATAAAAATGTAGTCATACCACAGAGAATAATCTCGTTACAGTGCCCATATACTAGGATCAAGCAGATCGTAGTAAACTGGACTTCCAGCGTGACAATCGATACTATTCGATCCACGAGCTTGAGAGTATTGGATGCCGAGGATCCCAACGAATTTATATCCGCTAAAAATACCAGGTACATTTGGTTGACCGAAAGAAGTGTCACGATACAACGTGTCTTAAAGTTAACGCCGTCCAGTTTTATACGATTTACATCTTTTTCGCATTTCAGCGACGTGATCTGTGAGCTGACGCCGAACCTGGGACAGTTCGGTGTGTACGAACTTTCTATAGTGAATCGAAGCTGCGATATAAAGGTTCTGAATGCGCCAACGTATCCTTATACAGGCAAGGCTCCCTGCATCAAATAGAATTTCTAATAAAAGTTGAAAAATAACCAGTAATTGTTATACGTATAAATCTGTGTGTAGACTTTATCCAGATCTTATTTATTTGTATCGAAATATCAGATCCGTTTGATGGTTATAAATATTTACCGGATGGTTGTAGATAGCAGCCATGATAGCAGCCATGTTACGTCTGATTTAATTTATTAAGATGTACGATAGTACCTTGATTGTAGAAGAGATTATAGCAAAATAAAGTTCAACGGTCGTGTTGATAAAAGTGTAATTTTTTTCAGAGCTTCTTGTTATTTTTGGAGTATTGTTACTCGTTCTATTTGGTCTGTCTGGCTTGAAATCACTGTGGCACGTATGCAGGAAGAAATATATGAAAAGTCAGGTGGATGATGGCGCTATGAAGCAACCCGCGAAACGTCGAGTGAAGGCGATTGACACGGTGCGGGGGTAAATGTTTCTATTCTATTTATTTCTCTTTTAATAAAATCGCTCCGTATAAAATATTACAGTATTTAAGAAAAGTTTAATGTTACAGGGCCAGTACGTTGTTGATGATATTCGTGAACGATGGATCGGGTGGTTATAGGACTCTTGGTCATGCGACTTGGAATGGATTGCTTCCAGGAGATTTGTTGTTCCCTTGTTTCATATGGATCATGGGCGTGTGTATCCCCATAGCGATGTCCAGTCAGATGAAGCGCATGACACCGAAACGCCAGATATTATATGGGATCGTCAAAGTAATTGATAACAATTTCACAGATAAATATAAAATTTAATTTGCATTGATACAATTGCAAAGAAAAACTGGTAGAATGTAATTTGCATTCAAACAGTTGTAATAGGGAATATAGAATTTATGCAAATTAGAATTTTTACTTTGTATTTCAATCTTAATTTATTTATATTTATTTATATTTTACTTTTTTATATGGCAGAGGAGCATACTTTTATTTCTAATCGGGTTGTCCCTGAATACGGTGAGCACAGGTGGCCAGCTTGAAACCATCCGCATATTCGGTGTTCTGCAACGATTCGGTATAACTTATTTCGTTGTTGCTCTGTTATATTTCCTTTTAATGTCAAGAAGACCAAGAAAGATACAAGTAAGTGTATACATACTTATAAATGAAAATTTTCTATATGTATTTCCCCGTAGAAGTATCAAATATTTTTATATATTTTCTCGGAAACATCGATTTACAAAATATTTCATTTTCATTCATAGTCTCCAATGTTACGAGAAGTGCAAGATTTTCTTCTGCTTCTTCCTCAATGGTGCGTGATGCTCGTGATTGTGGTCGTTCATTGCGTCATAACATTCTGCTTAAACGTTCCAGGATGTCCCACGTATGTACGTATGATTTAATGAATGACAATTGTGTTTTTACGAAAGCATCAAAAGCGATTATTCTTAGTGGATATCTTGGTCCCGGTGGTCTTCACGACGACGCGAAATACTTTGATTGTGTGGGCGGTGCAGCAGGCTACATTGATAGAGTGATACTTAAAGAAGCTCATTTGCACCATTCAGCTACGGTTTATAAATCTGGACCGTACGATCCTGAAGGAATTCTGGGTACACTGTCTTCCATTAAAGTACTGTGAAAATTTATTCTGCAGACTTTCAATTGTTATCTTGACTTTTCTTTTCCAAAATCTCATACTGCACAAATTTATTTAAATTTATTAGGAAGAATTTTTAACTTTTTTCCAATTTTACTTTTCAGAGAAATAAAATTCACAGTTCCATAATAACCTACTTCACGTGGAAATGAATATTATTTATTCGACACTTTTCTTTTTGATATTTCTAAATAATTATTTCCAAAATCAAGGTACCCTTACAGCGGCGTTTCAAGTCTTTCTTGGCCTACACGCTGGCATAATCATGATGACTTACAAAGACTGGAAAGAACGTGTAATCAGATGGTTAGCATGGGCTGCGTTCTTCGGTTGCGTAGGATGCGTTCTTCATTTTACCAACGTAATTCCCGTCAACAAGAAATTATGGTACGTTTCCAAAAAAGGACAACGTCGTATCGATTACGTTATAAAACCGTATTTATTTGCTATTATATATGCAGGTCACTGTCATTCGTATTCGTAACCACGTCTTTTTCCTTGGCTTTCCTTTCTGCTTGCTACTTGCTCGTAGATGTCGTCAAGGTGTGGAACGGTGGACCTTTTCGTATTCCTGGTATGACTTTCACGAGATTACACAACCACTAAACAGGTTTCGCGCCAAATCGATTTAAAACCTGTTTGAAGAATTAATGCTACTGAAAAAACGTAGTTTTTTAAACCATTATCGTCTTCGATACACTTTTCAATGCAGTTAGTGTCTTACTAGCCAGCAGATATCAAATAGCTATTTTTCTAATTAACGATTCAAATATACTATAACTTATATATAAATTTGTAATAAACGTTTTATTAGATTGTTAAAAGATAGCATTAAGAAAAATTCAGGTTGGCGCGCAACCTGTTCACTGTTTCAACACTCTTTTGCAACAAATGTAAAAACAATTATATTCGATTATCCGTAGGTATGAATGGTTTACTGCTGTACGTTGGCCACATGGTGTGCTATCAAAATTTCCCTTTCCACTGGAGCATCGGTAGCATGGAAAGTCGAGCACTGCGTTTATGCGAGGCCATTTGGGGCACTGGATTATGGTCAATTATTGCATACATTATGCATGCAAAACGCAATTACATCAGCCTATGATAATATACGTTCAGCAATCTTCTACATGTATAACAGAAATTTTGTACACAATGCTTAAAAAAAAATCAAAGGTTGCTGTCTCATTTATTCATTTTTATTGAATGAAAGATGATCGAAAGTTGTTACAAAAGGCAGCGAGGAGTAGATTGACTCGAAATGAGGTTTAAAGTAAATTTTACAGATGATTTATTTTGCATAACTTACATAAATATAGCACAATGATTGATCGAGGTAACATGATGGTATTCGACTCGAATACACTCGAATACACTACAACAGCGTTGGTTCCTTTTTATTTTGAACGAAGATGGCGAAACAGGGAATCATCGCGACCAGGTGACAATTATTTTCAATTTTGAAACCGAAAAACCAGTCGTGTGATTCGATTCTCTCAAAAGATCTTCGTCTTCTCACAATATGCGCACACCGTGGGATTAAGAGGAAAGAATAAGGGGAATGGCAGAAGAGATAAAACGAAACCTATACGGGGCAACAAATACAATGAGGTGACGTGGGAAGATCTCAGGAACAGTCCTGTGGTATCGATGGTTGTCGTGTTAAAACGAATCGCGACGAATCGTCGTAAACAAAATAAAAAATGAAAAAAGAAAGAAAAGAAAACACACTAGCAATGCCATGTTTCTGATGGAGGCACCCGTCTTTTGCTCAGTAATCCGCTGTAACAGGACCCAAAAATTCAGACAGACTAGATTATTAACGTCCTATAATTATCCTATGCTTTGGTTAAAAAAAAAGAAGAAATATAATAAAAGAAAAAAACTGCTCCTATCAATGGTGAATTGAATAATGGCGAGTGTGTCATAACTTGGAATTCTCTCGTGCTACGATTTTTGTAGAGGGACATTATTTTTTATGTAGAAAGGATTCAGCGTCGTTCAATTGCGTGAAATAATTGATTCTCATTATAGTCTATAATTCGTACAAATATTGCTGGCTCCAGATACAATTGAAAAATAATCGCCTACTTTTTTTTCATTAGAAACTATTAACGATAGAGTGAGAAAAATTGGGAAAATTTTGAATAACCAGTTAAGATTTAACAGACTGTAATAGGTATAATTAGAGCAATATAAAATGACGATAGTAATATTTTATAATGTATTATGTTATAATTTATTACCTTATAATCTATTACGTTACATAGTATTACTTTATACAGTATTACGTAGTATTATATTACGTTATGATGTATTACGTTATGATGTATTACATTATAATATATTACGTTATAATATATTACGTTATAATGTATTATGTTATAATGTATTATGTTATAATGTATTATGTTATATAATATTACGTTCTTCACACATGCACGAGTCGGAATTGTTGGGAGAAGTCGAAGCTTTAGCGCTCCTGATCGCCCGCTTTAAGAAGTATTGCGTCCCCTTGTATATCTCGTAGCAGAGAGAGATCTCTTTCTCGTCATGATGCCGCCGACGGCGGGCTTTCTGGAGCCGCCTGCGGGCCCGAATGCACGTCGCCCGTAGATCTGCAATGTCCTGGGTCCACCAGTACGCACATCGGTCCTGTCTAGCACCAGTCGAGGAGCGCAGCATCGACGCATCATGTGTCGCGTCCTCGTCTACGCTTTTCTCCTTGACCACGCTTTTCTCCTTGTCCACGCTTTTCTCCTTGTCCACGCTTTTCTCCTTGTCCACGCTTTTCTTCCTGTCCACGCTTTTCTTCTTGTGCACGCTTTTCTTCTTGTGCACGCTTTTCTTCTTGTGCACGCTTTTTTTCTTGTCCACGCTTTTCTTCTTTGTACGGGCGTCGCGATTCCAGGCCGCGACGATGGCAAATGCCTGGAGCATGTCGTCGTCTTCGATCACTGTCGCTCTATCCTTGATGCGTCTCGATCTTGATGGCGGGCGGGAGGGTTCCATTCTCCGGATACCGTGGGCCTCTCCCGCGAGCTTTGTCTCCGGCTTGACCTCCATGAATATATAGAGGTGGTGTGAGAGCTTATCAATCCCTCAGCTACTCTCCAGCCTGACACCCGTCGGAACGAATTGGGGTGCCCCATGTAATATTAACGACGGAACACCTTCCCCACGCCACGCGTGTGCTGGTCGAGCCTCTGTTAAGTGAGAGGAGATGTAAATTATTACCTTATAATGTATTATGTTATATTATATCACGTTATAATGTATTACGTTATATAGGTTTACGTCATATTACACTACGGAATATTTATATTACGTTACAATGTATTACGTTATAATATATTCCGTTACATTGCATTACGTCATATAGTATTACGTTATATTATATTCTGTTATGTGTTACGTTTTATATACAGGGTGGTTGGTAACTGGTGGTACAAGCGGAAAGGGGGTGATTCTACGCGAAAAAAGGAGTCGAAAATATAGTGTAGCGGCACTCGACAGCACAAATACCGCTACTCGATATAAACAACTAACGGACGACGGTAACGCAGTGGTTAGCGCATTAAGCTACGAACGTTCGAAACGCGGGATCGAATCCCGGCGACAGAATTCCGATTTTTATTCCACGATTCTAAATAGGAAGAAAATATAGCAGTACCCCCAGCAGCGACATCTACAGCCACCAGCCACAATCATCACGGACTCGACTCATCCTCTACAATAGAATAAATCTCCTCTCCAATCTTCCCGTAGCTGGGACAAAGACTGTTTGTTTGAAGGACTTTTTAGCCAACTAAATTCTAAGATGGGCCCTCAGGCTAGCTGAACATGTACTGCGGAGACGCATCGAGATCTGTGGCAAATCATCTTGCTCGAAGAATAGGATCTACGTGTGGCGAGCTACGGGACAGAGATCGTTGGAATGTTTACTGTCGACTGTTACAACTATTTCTCCTTTTTAAGGAGAGCTATAGAATTATTCCATGCCTTTGTTAGACAAAGCGTTCATCCCGTGACCGCGGGTACGTTAGGCGAGTGGCTGTCGCCTCGAACCCAAACTCATTATCACAACTCGCGAACAATTACAATCGGATTGAATAATTACAATTGTTCAATTACAGCTATAGTAGACTCTAGGTTACAATGTTGCGGGATTATCTAAAATTCGAAAGGCTCCGGTGTTCTTTCATCTCCGACATATATTATATATTGTATATGATTGTCATATAAATGCGTTAATCAGCCATGTCACTGCGCCACGCCAGAAAAATTACTGAAAATTCTCAACGCGAGAATTGATTGTAATTTTAATAAATAAATAAAAGAAAAAGATATAAATGCGTATATCATAAATCAAACGTTACTAAACGTTACTGTATGAAAAAGCATGGAATGGAATGTTAATTATTTCATTATGCATTTCTGCAATTAATCAATGAATTGATCTGAACATTTTCAAACCAGATAACTGTAAGAATTTGAACACTAAGGTGCACACGTATATATGCGTACATCAACAAACATAATTTCCTTAAGAAAATCTAGTATTTTAACAAATATTTTCAGAATGAACATATTGTTCATTATTATTTTAAAATGGGAATTTGAAGTATTATGTGAAGACAGATAATTACCGAATTACAAATTGCTGTTACAGGCGAAATATAAAAAATTGTATGCTTATTCGTACTATGTAACAGTGCATATACGTAATCTTTCTACTTACTATTCTATTAATAGTAATATAAAATAAAATTAAAATATAGTCCATCAAATCTAATATATCCACCATGAAATAAGATTATGGTCATATAGATAATTTCTAAAATTGTCTGACAAAGAGAGGTTATTGTATGATGCATTAAATCCATATACTAAGATTAATCTTTGAAAAGCGAAGGTAATATAACCTAAGAACTATGCACTAAATTTGAAACGAATGCGATGTATTGAAAGTTTTAAAAGTACCTTTCAAGTTTCAGATATTTAATATAAATTAAAGATATATTAGTAAAACATGAAATGAAATACATGTATTTACGATATAATTTTTAAACATATTTGTATTTTTAAACATCATTAAGCAAATTTCTAAATAACTAAGAATACACTGCTTCTTATTAAATAGTTACGAATTGTTTTTATTAGCGAGAAGCTATTAAAAGTGATGGTTGACAAGTTGTATCGATATACCACAAGTTGACGAAGTATACCAATAATAATTTAACAAAGCAAATTCTTCACCGCGATCTTCGAGAGAAATTCCTTGGAATGGCAATTGTTGTAACGAACGCAGCTGCATTTATAACATGCGACATAAGTTCACTCTCTTATATACTAAGCTATTTGATTAATTCTAAGTATGTGAGGAATTTAAAAAGCTTTTAAAATCATATTAATCTCTAGGCTATGTCCTACTGGACAAATTGTAAAATCCAAATAAAAAAAAAAAGAAAAAAAAAGAAAAAAAAAGAAAAAAATGCGACATAAGTTCACTCTCTTATATACTAAGCTATTTGATTAATTCTAAGTATGTGAGGAATTTAAAAAGCTTTTAAAATCATACTAATATCTAAGTTATGTCCTACTGGACAAATTGTAAAATCCAAATAAAAAAAAAAAGAAAAAAAAGAAAAAAAAAGAAAAAAAATCTCTATGTTGGAGACAAATAACGAGAAATTGCTGTTGCAACCCGTCAAATATATTTAGAATAAATTAAATAAATATGAATAAATATAAATACCGTCGAGAGACGCTCCTATAAATGTATTCGCAAAGAGAAAGTATGATCGCTCGCGGATAACTCTATAACTCGTATATTCTATTAAACGTAGATAATAACTCAGACAAATAACTCGTGTGTTAACTCGAACTGTAACTCGGATAATGACTCGGATAATAACTGACTCGTTCGCGATCGCGTTCATTTATTTACACGCGTCGGGGGGCAGGGGGAGTAGAAAAATTTGAATTCGTCTTAGATCGACGGTTGCCTATAACGGTGACTTTGTTTTGTCCGGAGTTTATCTATCGTTATGTTTCGTGCGTCAAGGCGGTGTCCGTGTTCTGAGGCACAACACAACACGAGTCGCTCTCGATCCGCATCGTCCTATGACTCATGTGCCGCTGCAGTTTTATATGTCGGAGATGAAAGGACACCGGAGCCTTCCCTTTGGAACTTCGGTAAAATCCGTAAAATTGTGATCTAAAGTCTACCACAACCATAATTACACAATTGTCGTCATTCTATCTAATTGTATTTGTTTGAGATTTGTAATAATGAGCTTGGGAGTGACGGGATGAACGCTTTGTCTAACAAAGGTATGGAGTAATTCTATAGCTCTCCTTAAAAGAAATATTTGTGGCGGCACGCGACAGTAAA